TACAATTAGAACAATGGTTAATAAACTGGAAAAGAAATAATAGAAATGGAAGCCAACTCAATCAATTCGAACAAATAATACAGAAGGGAAGGGCTGTAGAAAAATATGAAAACTTGAGAGGTATAATTAGCAAAATTTATAAGATACTAATTGAAATGAAGGATGAAAAAACAAAAAAGTGTACCCTTAAGGAGATTTGGGAAGAGGATTTAGGGATAAAAATAAGTGAAATAGAGTGGCAGCAATTATGGGGACAAAGACATTTAAAAAATTTATCGATACGAGTTAAAGAAAACTATTACAAGTTAATATGGAAGTGGTACTTGACACCGGTAAGAATAGCATATATGAATAAAAATAACTCAATAAATTGTTGGAGAGGGTGTCAAGAACCAGGAACATATATACACATGTGGTGGCAATGTAAATACGTAAATAATTTTTGGGAGAAAGTATTTAGAGAAATAGAAACTATAATGAATATGAAAATAGATAAAAGTCCTAGTGTAGCCTTACTATCATTATATAACAATAAGCAATTGAAAAAGGAGGATAAAGAAGCGATAACAAACTTACTGCGCCCGTACCTTGGGAAGTCTGACTTGGCCACGGTAGTCCACGCTCTGGTTACATCCCGTTTAGACTACTGCAACGCTCTCTACGTGGGGTTGCCTTTGAAGACGGCTCGGAAGCTCCAATTAGTCCAACGGTCGGCAGCCATGATACTAACTGGAGCAGAGCGCAGGGAGCACACAACTCCTTTGCTGCACCAGCTCCACTGGCTGCCGATTTGCTACCGGGCTCAATTCAAAGTGCTGGCGTTGGCCTTTAAAGCCCTAAACGGTTCTGGCCCAACCTACCTATCCGAACGTATCTCGGCCTATCAGCCCACCAGGACCCTAAGATCTTCTGGGGAGGCCTTGCTCTCTATCCCGCCTGCTTCACAGGTGCGGCTGGCGGGGACGAGAGACAGGGCCTTTTCTGTGGTGGCCCCTCGGCTCTGGAACGCCCTTCCCATGGAGGTAAGATCAGCCTCCTCGCTGATGGTATTCCGAAAAAGACTAAAAACTTGGATGTTCAAGCAGGCATTTGGTTAATTCGGTGCAATGAATGTGTCGACTACGGATTGGTAATATGGATGATGCAATTGGACCACGATTTTAGTTAGGAGATGTATTGGATTGTGATTTATGTGAAATATTGTGTATTATGTTTTTTACGGTTTTAATTGTATACTGTGTACTGTATATTCTGTTGTAAACCGCGTTGAGTCGCCAGTTAGGCTGAGAAACGGCGGTATACAAGGACAGTAAATAAATAAATAAATAAATAAATACTAACTATAGCAAGACTGCTCATAGCAAGGAATTGGAAAAAAGAAATGAATATACAAATAGAGGAGTGGTATAAGGAAGCATGGAAAATAGCAATAAATGATAAATTGACATGTATATTAAAGGTTAAAAAAGGTATATGGAAACAAAGCGATTTTGATGCTGTATGGGGAAGATTTGTGGTAAATGGATTAAAAAATAAGGAAGGAAAATTACCGTCACAAGAAGAAATGAAATTTTGGACAGATGAAATGTAAGAATTGTGGCTTGAGACGGGTGGAGGGGAGCACTGTGGTGATAAAAAAGGAAAAAGAGAAAAGGGGGGGGGGAAATGTCAAAGCAAAACAATAAAACAACGATAAAGAGGCTGATGTACAAAATGCAATAGTATGTAATAAATGTGATAAATCAATAAAAAAATATTTAAAAAAGAAAGGAAAACGTAAATAGAAACAGATAATCCAGGAAAATAGTCCATAAGAGTCCATGAAAACAAATACTGGGATTTCCAAGCAAACTCCAAAGTACTTGAGCATTAATCAAACATTTAACGTGAACTATAACAAGGCATTTAATTCAGGAATCTATCCAAGGCAAGGCATCCAGGAACCTGAGACGAGATCTTGATCTAATTCCAACATTGCTTCATCTGGCTACAGATTCTGTACTTGACACTTTAATCCTTCTAATGTATTGTATATCCCATGTGGCCAAGGAGGGAGCAAGCTTGTTTTCTGCTTCCCTGGAGACTAGGACGCGGAACAATGGCTTCAAACTACAAGAGAGGAGATTCCATCTGAACAAGAGGAAGAACTTCCAGACTGTGAGAGCCGTTCAGCAGTGGAACTCTATGCCCCAGAGTGTGGTGGAGGCTCCTTCTTTGGAAGCTTTTAAACAGAGGCTGGATGGCCATCAATATTCCTGCTTCTTGGCAGAATGGGGTTGGACTGGATGGCCGATGAGGTCTCTTCCAACTCTTTGATTCTATGATTCTCAGCTTTGAGTCTCCTAAATAGGAACAGATAATCCAGGAAAATAGTCCATGAAAACAAATACTGGTACTTCCAATCAAACACCAAAGTACAGTTTTCCCTCACTTACGTTCCAGGACCACCCGCGAAAAGTGAAAATCCAAGAAGTAGGGACGGTATATATATTTACAATCTCACATTGGAATGCTACTGCATCTCAAGCGGCTCAGGGTATTCCTATTGGCTGAGGCACAAAAGGGGGCGGTGCTCGGCCCTCCAGGCTTCTCGGTTGTCATTGGCCATGCAGATGACGCCGGAAAAGTCGGCTCTGTGTCCTACATTCCTGTTGGCTATTCTCCATTTTGGAGTAAAAACCCACACAACAGTGAAAATACTGCAATAAATATTTTACATTAATATTTATTGTAAAACCGCAAAACTGCGAGTCCACAAAAAGCAAACTGTGAAGTAGTGAGGGAACACTGTACTTGAGCATTAATCAAACAAAGCACTTTAACATGAAATAACAAGGCACTTAATTCAGGAATCTATCCAAAGCAAGGCATCCAGGAACCTAAGACGAGAGGAGAAAGGCGACTAAAATGATCAAGGGTCTGGAGAACAGCTTAAAGAGCTGGGCCTATTTAGCCTGAAGAAGAGAAGGGTGAGAGGAGACATGATTGCCATGTATAAATATGTGAAGGGAAGTCATAGGGAGGAGAGAGGGAGCTTCCTGTCTGCTGCCCTGCAGACTAGGATGCAGAACAATGGCTTCAAACTGCAGGAAAGGAGATTCCATCTGAACATTAGGAAGACCTTCCTGGCTGTGAGAGCCGTTCAACAGTGGAACTCACTGCCCTGGAGTATGATGGAGACTCCTTCTTTGGAGGCTTTTAATCAGAGGCTGGATGGCCATTTGTCAGGGATGCTTTGAATGTGATTTTCCTGCTTCTTGGCAAAGGGTTGGAGTGGATGACCCACGAGGTCTCTTCCAACACTATGATTCTATTATTCTATCTACTGTTGCACTCCAGGCCAGGAAAACACCACACAGCTGAGGAAAATGCAAGCAGTTTATTGAAGATAAAAAGCAGTAAAAATCAACCCCACAGTAAAAGGCCAAGCTCAATAGGTAGAAAAGGTAAATAGGAACAGATAATCCAGGAAAATAGTCCATAAAAGACCATGAAAACAAATACTGGGATTTCCAAGGCAAACTCCAAAGTACTTGAGCATTTATTAAACAAAGCAGTTTAACATGAAATAACAAGGCACTTAACTCAGGAATCTATCCAAGGCAAGGGAAGGCGTCCAGGACCCTGAGAAGAGATCTTGACCTAATTCCAACATTGCTTCGTCTGGCTACAGATTCTGTACTTGACACTTTAATCCTTCTAATCTACTGCATATCCTATGTGGCCAAGAATGGATTTTTTCTCAGCCTTGAGTCTCTTATCAGTCTCTGCTGCAGAGCACCTGAGAGCCTGGTTTGTTTTTCTTTACTGAGTGAAAACACTTCTCCTGTTCATTGGCTCATTAATTTCTGAAACTGGACCAGACGCCGAGCCTTTCTCAGGCTCAAGGCCTTGGGAATCCTCAGGTAGCAGTTCAGGGAACAGACCATCATCCCCAAACCCTTCAGGAATATTCCCATCAGAAGACTCACTTTGAACATGAACCACATTGTCATTCTCTGCATCTAGAGCAGCCTCATCATTAGCCACATGAACCTCATTGTCACTCCCATCATCCAGCGTACCCTGGTCATTAAACACAATCACAGGCTGAACTCCCAACATCTACACTGTAGAATTAATGCACTTTAATACCACTCCTTGCTATGGAATTAAGTAATTTTGCAAGATCTTTCACCATCTGTGCCAAACAGCACTGATGCCTCACCAAAGTGTTGGGCTCTTTTCTCAGGCCCTCCACTCTCACCATCCTATTCTAGGGCTAGCTAGGGCTGACGGTGGGAGCTCACCCCAAACCGCGGTTTTGAAACCGACAGCCTTCTGGTTGGCAAGATTTTCTCCAGCCCGTGGTTTAACCACCTGTGCTAACCGCGGCCCCTATTATTTATTATTCCTACTGAAAGCAGACATATATAGCAATGGAAAGATTTCCAGAGTCCCATTACACTATGTAACAGGCTCGAATCCAGTGAGAGGTGGATGAGCTCCCTCTATCAGCTCCAGCTCCTCAGGCAGGGACATGAGAGAAGCCTCCCACAAGGATGATAAAAACATCAAATCATCCGGGCGTCCCCTGGGCAACATCCTTGCAGACGGCCAATTCTCTCACACCAGAAGTGACCAACAAGCCACACCAAACAACTGCCAGGCCATCAAATGCTAATCAAGGTGGGCAGTTGAAACATTGACACCTAGCTCCAACAGACAAGAGTTCTTTGTCCCACCCTGGTCATTCCACAGATATATAAACCCATTTTCCTAGTTTCAATAGACCTCACGACCTCTGAGGATGCTTGCCATAGATGCAGGTGAAACGTCAGGAGAGAATGCCTCTAGACCATGGCCATACAACAAACCTACAACAACCCAGTCTCCCTTTGTGTTCCTCCCATCTCCTCCTCCATCCCTTCCCCCCATCTGACCATAGTTGGGCCATGCTCATATTGCAAGAAATTAGGTTTTTAAAAGCCTTAATTCAATCTGATTCTGATTCTTTGCAGAGCGGTCAGGAGCAGCTGCTAAAAATGATGGAGAGGCGCATGATGGATGTGGAGCAGCAGCTGAGGCTGGTGAAGCGCCTTCTCCAAGACAAAGTCAATCAGCTGAAAGAGCAGGTGAGTCCTCCCGACTGGTGGAGAGATTCAGAGAAGTGTGCAGAATGAAAACCACACGCAGTTCACATTTTACCAGCCCACACACCGTCTTGCCAGAGAAAGAAAATATCCCACGCACATGATCAGTATTTATTTATCATGTCAGGAGCAACCAGACAGTTGTATTACATTTTTAACAAAACAAACAAACAGACAAACAGACAAAACACAAAGTTTGCAAGCTTGGTAGTTGATTAGATGCCCTTTGACCAGTCTCTGGCCACTGGGAGTGCCTCTGGTGTTGCCTCAAGGAGGTCCTCCCTTGTGCATCATGTCACAGGGCTCAGGGTGCATTGCAGCAGGTGGTCCGTGGTTTGCTCTTCTCCACACTCACATGTCGTGGATTCCACTTTGTGGCCCCATTTCTTGAGGTTGGTTCTGCATCTCGTGGTGTCAGAGCGCAGTCTGTTCAGTGCCTTCCAAGTCGCCCAATCTTCAGTGTGCCTAGGGGGGAGCCTCTCATCCGGTCTCAGCCACTGATTGCCTTGGGCAGAGACATCCCCAGCTCATCCCCTGTTTGGGTATCAGCCAGCACGTCAACGACTTAAATCCAGACATAGTTCTCTAAGATCTACAGAGACACACGCTGGAACATCTCAGCAAGCGAGAGTCCAAAAGTGGCAGGCTAAAACCCAGAAGCTCAACCAATGGCTGATACCAAATGAGAGACGTCCCCCTGGGCACACAGAAAACTGGCGACTTGGAAGGTGCTGAACAGACTGCGCTCTGGCACCACGAGATGCAGAGCCAACCTCAAGAAATGGGGCCACAAAGTGGAATCCACGACATGCGAGTGTGGAGAGGAGCAAACCACTGACCACCTGCTGCAATGCAACCTGAGCCCTGCCACATGCACAAGGGAGGACCTCCTTGCGGCAACACCAGAGGCACTCCACGTGGCCAGATACTGGTCAAAGGACATTTAATCAACTCACAAATTTTGTATTTTGTCTGTTTGTTTGCTTTGTTCTCTTAGAAATGTAATATAATTTGACTGGTTAATAAGCCACTGATTGAAGTTCTGGGTTTCAGCCTGCCACTTTTGGACTCTCGCTTGCTGAGGGGTTCCAGCGAGTGTCTCTGTAGATCTTAACCCTAACCCTAACCCCATCCATCCTAACATTTAGGAAACGGGTGAAGACGTGTCTGTGGAGTCAGGCCTTCGAGGAATGAGACAACACCATAGGACCCTGGATGGAAGTGGATATAGATCCATCTTATTAGGACGACTGACCACTGTAGTTTTATATTTAGTGTTTTTAAAGTTGTTTTGTAATTTGAGATATATGATATTTTAATGAATGTATATGTTTTTATGGCTGTAAACCGGGCTGAGTCCCTCGACGAGGTTGAGAAGCTCGGTATACAAAACTGTGAAATAAATAATAAATAATAAATCTTAGAAAACTATTTCTTGATTTAAGTTCTGGTGGTGAAAACTTCAGAACTCTAACAAAACTTTCAAAATTTCATTATTATTTCATTATTGGTGATTTTTATGACAGAACCTATTAGGACGGCCTGGGTAACAACGGAAAAATTTGTTTCTAAAATCGATTCGTTTTTTGGGGGGTTTTGCGTTTCGATATTTAAAAGAATTCCGAAATTTTTCTTTTAAAAAGTTCGATATTTACGAAATTTCGTAAATGTAAAAAAAATTACGAAACAAATACGAAACAATAACGAATCGATTCGTTAATGGCGGACGCGACCGCGCAATACGCTAAAAAACCTCCAAATGGGAGAGGGGGAACTTCTGAAGCTTCCCTCTCCCTCTGTTGTTGACTGTTGGTGTGATATTATAATTTTTTTTCACTAATTAAACAAAAAACAACTATAAAACTTGCCCCAGACATGCGGAAATAATAACGAAACGACCTCAAACTGATAACGAAACGAATACATAACGAATCCGAAGCATTTACGAAACGAATTTAAAAATTCGTTTCGTTTTTAAGTTGCTCCAGAATGGTTCGTTATCGCTTCGTTAAAAAAAAAATAACGAATTTTTAACGAATTACGAATTAACGAAACGAAACCGCCCAGCCCATAGGAACTGCCATTTATAATGAAATTTGAAAGTTTTGTTAGAGTTCTGAAATTTTCACCACCAGAACTTTAGCAACACTGTAGAAGCAAAGCACCAGCGCCCCCTAGTTTTCACCACCAGAACTTTAGTTTTGTAAGTACTTTAGAACCATTTAGAACCATGGATTGCACATGCCTACTTCATAAGTCGACATTCATGCCCAGTTCTACTCCCGGCCTAAATGGCGAGGGAAGAGCCCCATTGCTTGAGTGACAACTCCTTGTTTCTTGTGTTTCAGCTCACCAAGAACAGAAAAGCAGACGAAATGGTGAAAGACCTCTACGTGGAGAATGCCCAGCTCCTGAAAGCTCTGGAGATGACGGAACAGAGGCATCAAACGGTGGAGAAGAAGAACTACTTGCTGGAGGAGAAAATTGCCAACCTCAGCAGGATCGTCAGCAACCTGACCTCCCCAACGTTGGGGTCCACGGTTCAGCTGGGCTCGTAGCACGCCTGCCGAACTCTGCACAACCCATGCACTTTAGTGAGGAAATGCTAGGCATTTCGCCTGTTTTAGAAAACGCTGCCTTTGGAATGTTAGAGGTTTAGATCCGTGCCAGGGCTGCTCCTTCTCGATCTCGATCTCAACTTCCACCCTGGATGCCTTACTGCAAACTCCCCATTTGATGGAGAGTTCAACCTGGAGGAGGAGCGCTATGACGTTGGAAGTGCAACGCACCTTCAAACACTAAACACAGGTATACCTCCATTCGCACAGTCCTTGGCCATTACTACTTGCACAGAAATGTTGATGCCAAAGCTACAAATCATAGAATCATAGAATCACAGAGTTGGAAGAGACCTCGTGGGCCATCCAGTCCAACCCCATTCTGCCAAGAAGCAGGAATATTGCATTCAAAGCACCCCCGACAGATGGCCATCCAGCCTCTGCTTAAAAGCTTCCAAAGAAGGAGCTAGAGCAGAACTTTACGAGCATTTTTGAGACATGGTAATTCAGTTTTACTAGCAAACCAGAAGTTAAGCCAATCCTTTTTAAGAGATATGGACACAGACATACATTGTCATCTCCATTTCCAAGCTGAGGAGCCTGCGTTGTCCACTGACACCTCCTGGTTGTGTGGCCAGCATGACTGTAATTGATAAAGTGGCGTCAAACTGCATTAATTCTACAGTTTACATGCACCCTCTACTACTAGCCCTGGTTTTAGTTGATTTCTCATGTTTTGCTCACACATCTTCACTCACTTTTAAATTTCCACTGCTAGTCACATCTGTTGTTGTTCATTCGTTCAGTCGTCTCCAACTCTTTGTGACCTCATGGACCAGCCCATGCCAGAGCTCCCTGTTACATCTACACTGTGGAATTAATGCAGTTAAACATCACTTTAATGGCCCTCAATGCCATGGAATCCTAAGATGTGTGGTGTGGTGACGAGCATCGCTCTGGCAGAGGATAGAATAGAACCCTAGAATCCTAGAGTTGGAAGAGACCTCATGGGCCATCCAGTCCAACCCCATTCTGCCAAGAAGCAGGAATATTGCATTCAAAGCACCCCTGACAGATGGCCATCCAGCCTCTGTTTAAAAGCTTCCAAAGAAGGAGCCTCCACCACACTCTGGGGCAGAGAGTTCCACTGCTGAACATCTCTCACAGTCAGGAAGTTCTTCCTAATGTTCAGATGGAATCTCCTCTCTTGTAGTTTGAAGCCATTGTTCGTGTGTCCTAGTCTCCAGGGAAGCAGAAAACAAGCTTGCTCCCTCCTCCCTGTGGCTTCCTCTCACATATTTATACATGGTTATCATATCTCCTTTCAGCCTTCTCTTCTTCAGGCTAAACATGCCCAGCTCTTTAAGCCGCTCCTCATAGGGCTTTTTCTCCAGAACCTTGATCCTTTGAATCGCCCTCCTCTGGACACATTCCAGCTTGTCAATATCTCTTCAATTGTGGTGCCCAAAATTGGACACAATATTCCAGGTGTGGTCTAACCAAAGCGGAATAGAGCATGGGGAGCATGACTTCCCTAGATCCAGACACTAGACTCCAATTGATGCAGGCCAAAATCCCGTTGGTTTTTTTTTACCGCTGCATCACGTTGTTGGCTGGACATGGAAAAAATAGGGATAGGTTCCCATTCCACACAAAAAGAAAAAGCAGTTTGACACACTTCGCCCGAGTTTTTATTCAAACCTAACTTAGTGCGCACATGGCAAAACATCCAGATTGGGAAAATCTTGCATTGCAAAACAAAAACACATTGAGCATTCTACAATGGAAAGCTTAATTTAAAATGCATCCAAACATTTACTTTTTCCCTTCTACCATCCTTTGCTTTTATCATGATTTCCATTTTGGGGGCAAGTCATCCAATCCTATCATTGGAAGGGACTTCCAGAGGTCATCCAGCCCAACCCCATTCTGCTGTACAAGGAAGCACAATCCAAGCACCCCTGACAGATGGCCATCCAGTCCCTGCTTTAAGAATTCCAGAGAATCTCTTTTTAATGTTTAGGTCAGTGGGTCTCTCCCCAGGTGTTTTGTCCTACAACTCCCAGAAATCCCAACCAGTTTACCATCTGTTAGGATTTCTGGGCATTGAAGGCCAAAACACATGGAGACCCACAGGTTGAGAACCACTAGTTTAGGTGGAATTTCTCTTCCTCAGAACACTTTTATTGGTGTTGTTTAGAGCATTTCCAGGGACTATTTCCATTTATTTTGAATTAATTGGAAGATTCTCAGGAATCTGAATGCCATACATGTTAGAACCAAAGCAAATGGGCAGCCCTGACTTCGGTTTCAACCTCAACATGTCCAGTAATTGTGTTGTTGTTGTTTTCTAACACCTTCAGTGTGGCTTTCTGTTTTTTAGAACGACTTTGATTCAATTTATTTCAGTTGGAGGAGGGAGTTGATGTACATTATGTGCTACTTTTAATATATGGACTCTTTCCAACACAATCCTCCTTAAGTTGTATCATTGCAACCGCGGTGGTGTGTGTGTGTGCGTGTGTGTGAAACAATGACACCATAATTCCTTTAAAGGAGTTTACCCCCAATATGTTGTTGTAGGTTTTTTGGGTTGGCCATGTTCTAGAGGCATTCTCTCCTGACGTTTCGCCTGCATCTATGGCAAGCATCCTCAGAGGTAGTGAGGTCTATTGGAACTAGGAAAATGGGTTTATATATCTGTGGAATGACCAGGGTGGGACAAAGGACTCTTGTCTGCTGGAGCTAGGCGTGAATGTTTCAACTGACCACCTTGATTAACATTTGATGGCCTGGCAGTGCCTGGGGCAATCTTTTGTTTAGAGGTGATTAGATGTCCCTGATTGTTTTCCCTCTGTTGGTAAAACAGAGGGAAAGCAACCACCCAGGCTTTGAAGCTGCAAGGCCATTCAGTGTTAATAAAGGTGGCCTGCAGAGCCCAGTTGAGTTGGTACAGTTCACCTTGGACAGTAAATCAGGACTAAAAAAAAAAACAGAGGAATTCCAGACAGAAAATAATCAGGGCCAACTAACACCTCCTAAAAAAGGATTCCCCCGGGCAGCAACCAGCCAGGCTTTGAAGCTGCAAGGCCAGTCAATACTAATCGATGTGGCCTGGAGAGCCCAGTTGAGGGCCAGCTAACACCTTCCAACAAAGGATCCCCTAGGAAGCAACCAGCCAGGCTTTGAAGCTGCAAGGCCAGTCAATGCTAATCGATGTGGCCTGGAGAGCCCAGTTGAGGGCCAGCTAACACCTTCCAACAAAGGATCCCCTAGGAAGCAACCAGCCAAGCTTTGAAGCTGCAGGGCCAGTCAATGCCAATCAATGTGGCCTGGAGAGCCCAGTTGAGGGCCAGCTAACACCTTCCAACAAAGGATCCCCTAGGAAGCAACCAGCCAGGCTTTGAAGCTGCAGGGCCATTCAATGCTATTCAATGTGTCATGGAGAGCCCAGTTGAGGTGGTTCAGTTCACCTTGGACAGTAAATAAGGACTAAAAAAAACCAGAGGAATTCCAGACAGAAAATAATCAGGGCCAGCTAACACCCCACATAAAGGATTCCCCCGGGCAGCAACCAGCCAGGCTTTGAAGCTGCAGGGCCATTCAATGCTAATCAAGGTGGCCTGGAGAGCCCAGTTGAGATGGTTCAGTTCACCTTGGACAGTAAATCAGGACTAAAAAAGACAGAGAAATTCCAGACAGAAAATAATCAGGGCTAGCTAACACCTTCCAACAAAGGATTCCCCCAGGCAGCAACCAGACAGGCTTTGAAGCTGCAAAGCCAGTCAATGCTAATCAATGTGGCCTGGAGAGCCCAGTTGAGGGGCAGCTAACACCTTCCAACAAAGGATCCCCTAGGAAGCAATCAGCCAGGCTTTGAAGCTGCAGGGCCATTCAATGCTAATCAATGTGGCCTGGAGAGCCCAGTTGAGGGCCAGCTAACACCTTCCAACAAAGGATCCCCTAGGAAGCAACCAGCCAGGCTTTGAAGCTGCAAGGCCAGTCAATGCTAATCAATGTGGCCTGGAGAGCCCAGTTGAGGGGCAGCTAACACCTTCCAACAAAGGATCCCCTAGGAAGCAATCAGCCAGGCTTTGAAGCTGCAAGGCCATTCAATGCTATTCAATGTGTCCTGGAGAGCCCAGTTGAGGTGGTTCAGTTCACCTTGGACAGTAAATAAAGAGCAACACTATTTTTTTAAAAAAGGAATGCCAATCAATGTGGCCTGGAGAGCCCAGTTGAGGGGCAGCTAACACCTTCCAACAAAGGATCCCCCAGGAAGAAACCAGCCAGGCTTTGAAGCTGCAAGGCCATTCAATGCTATTCAATGTGTCCTGGAGAGCCCAGTTGAGGTGGTTCAGTTCACCTTGGACAGTAAATAAGGACTAAAAAACAACAGAGGAATTCCAGACAGAAAATAATCAGGGCCAGCTAACACTGCACACAAAGGATTTCCCCAGGAAGCAACCAGCCAGGCTTTGAAGCTGCAAGGCCAGTCAATGCCAATCAATGTGGCCTGGAGAGCCCAGTTGAGGGAGTTCAGTTCACCTTGGACAGTAAATCAGGACAGTAAATAAAGAGTAACACTCAAAAAACAGAGGAATTCTAGACAGGAAACAATCAGGGCCAGCTAATCTAGTCTAAAGCAGGAAAGAGAATCTTCATTGGTCTCAAACTGCTTTCAACAAGCCTGGGCCAACTTGGGCCCTCCCTCTCTCTCTCCAGGGGTTTTGGACTACAACTCCCACAATTCCTAACAGCCGGTAGGCTGTTAGGAATTGTGGGAGTTGTAGTCCAAAACCCCTGGAGGGAGTGAAGGAGGGCCCAAGTTGGCCCAGGCTTGTTGAAAGCAGTTTTGAGACCAATGAGGATTCTCCTTCCGTCCGCACGGTGGCGCTGTGAGCAGCACTCCCTCCCCGAGTCCTGAGTCCTGGCGGACTTCCGCTTCCTGTGTTTACCCCTGAATGAAGGGAAGAGGGTCGGCCTTCCCAGCGGGCCTTCTTTTTCTCTCTCTCCCTGAGTGTCCTTCCTCCCGGGCGGAAAAGGGAAGGTTCTCTTCCGAGGGGAAGGCCATGAGGAAGCGGAGGAGGCGGTGAGCGGGGCCGAGGGCAGGCCGGGCCTCTCTCTCTCTCTCCCTCGCTCCCTTCCTTCCTTCCTTCCTTCCTTGGCGGGGGATGCTGTCCCGGAAGAAGGCCCGGGGGGAGCTCTCGAAGCCCGGGGAGGTGCAGGGCAAGTACGTCATCAAGGAGACCAGCCCCCTCCTCCGCAGTGAGTAGGAAGGAGATGAAGGGGGGGAGGGGAAAAGGGGAAGGGAAAAAAGTTGAGAATGAAGCAAAGAATGAGTGAAAGAGGGGAGGAAGGAAGGGAAGAAGAAGGAGAGAAAGAAGAGTAAGAAGGAAGAAAGGATAGAAGAGAAAGTTAAGAAGAGAAAATGAGTGAGAGGGGAGGAAGGAAAGAAGAAGGAAGTAGAGAAAAAGAAGGAGGAAGGAAGGAGGGAAGGAGAAAGTTGAGAAGAAAGAAAAGAGTGATTGAGAGGAAGGGAAGAGGAAGGAAGGAGAGAAAGAAGGAAGAAGGGAAAGCAGATAAAGTTGAGAAGGGAGGAAAGAGAAGAGGGAAGGGAGAGGAGAAGGAGAAGAAGGGGAAGGAAGGGAAGAAAAAGGAAGGAGAGAAAAAGAAGAGGAAGAAGGAAGGAAGGAAAGGAGGAGGAAGAAGGAAAAGAGTAGCAGAAGGAAGGAGAGAAAGAAGAGTAAGGTAAGGAAAGAAGGAGAGAAAGTTGAGAAGCAAGGAAAAGAATGAGTGAAAGAGAGGAGAAAGGAGGAGGAGGAAGGGAAGGGTAAAAGAAGGAAGGAGAGAAAGAGGGAAGAAAGGAAAGAAGGAGAGAAAGTTGAGAAGGAAGGAAAAGAAAGAATGAGTGAAAGAGGGAAGGAAAGGAAGGCAAGAAGGAAGGAGAGAAAGAAGAAAGAAGAGGAAAGAAAGGAAAGAAGGAGAGAAAGTTGAGAAGAAAGGAAAGAAGGAGAGAGAAGGAAGGGAAAAAGAAAGAAGGAGAGAAGAAGGGTAAGAAGGAAGAAAGGAAAGAAGGAGAGAAAGTTGAGAAGGAAGGAAAAGAAAGAATGAGTGAAAGAGGGAAGGAAGGCGAGAAAGGGAAGGAATGAAGGGAGGAGGGAGAAAAAGAAGAGTAAGAAGGAAGAAGAGAAAGGGAGAAGGAAGGAAAGAATGAGTGAAAAGGGGGAGGAAGGAAAAGAGGAAGAAGGAAAAAGAAGGGAAGGGTAGAAGAAGGAAGGAGAGAAATAAGAAGAGTAAGAAGGAAGAAAGGAAAGAAGGAGAGAAAGTTGAGAAGGAATGGATAGAAGGAGAGAAAGAGGGAAGAAGAGGGAGGAGAGAAAGAAGGAAAGAAAGAGAAGAAAGGAAAGAAGGAGAGAATGTTAAGAAGGAAGGAAACGAAAGAATGAGTGAAAGAGGAAAGGAAGTTGAAAAGAAAGGAAAGAGGGAAGGGAAGGAAGGGAAGAAAGTTGGGAAGGAAGGAAGGATAGAATGAGTGAAAAGGAAGGAAAGAGGAAGAAGGAGAGAAACGGAAGAAAGGAGAGAAAGAAGGGAAGAGAGAAGAAAGGAAAGAAGGGTGAAAGAAGAGAAGGAAGGAAGGTGGGGACAAAGGGAATGATGGATAGAATGAGTGAAAGGGAAGGAAGGAAAGAGGGAGAAAGTGGGAAGGATGGGAAAAAGGAGAGAAAGGGAAGAAGAGAAAGTTGAAAGGAAGAAAAGAGAAGGAAGGAAAAAAGGAAGAAGGGAAGAAAGTTGAGAAGGAAGGGAAAAGGAAGTATAGAATGAGTGAAAAGGAAGTAAGGAAGGAAAGAGATTGAGTTAAGAGGGAAAAGAAATAGAGAAAGTGGGAAGGAAGGAAAGAATGAGTGAAAGAGAGGAGGGAAGGAGAGAGAGGATGGAAAAAAGAAACAAAGAGGAGAAAGGAAAGGTAGGTAGGCAAGGAAGAAAGAGAAAGCAGGAAGAAAGCTTGTTTAAAAGGGCACTTTTATTATCACGCTAAGTTGTATCTTGTTTTCATCTTGTTGTAAACCACTATCCAGTTAAATAACAAAACCCCTGAATATAGCCATTCTTAGGCCCAGTTTCAAACACCATAGACAGCTCTGGTGATGGTTGTTGTTACAGTCTGTGACTTTAGGTTGGCTTGGGCTTGGAGTCCAAGACTATGGAACTATGTTTTCCATGTCTCCAATGTAGACTTACATAGGCGATCCCTCGTAGTCTGAGGGTGATGGTCCTCCAAGTTCGGTGTCCTGGGGGTGGGTCCGTAGGTGACTGTGGATCCCTATTCTTGGCCTGCATCTTCTCCCTCAGTGAGGGCATTGGTTTCCAGGTGGAAGGCGGTCCTGGTCGGGTTGGCTTGATGCGCCTTCCTCTTGGCACGTTTCTCTCTTTTGCCCTCCATTCGTGCCTCTTCAAATTCTACAGCACTGCTGGTCACAGCTGACCTCCAGCTGGAGCGCTCAAGGGCCAGGGCTTCCCAGTTCTCAGTGTCTATGCCAGAGTTTTTAAGGTGTGCTTTGAGCCCATCTTTAAATCTCTTGTCCTCCAACATTCTGTTTTCCATTCTTGAGTTCGGAGTAGAGCAACTGCTTTGGGAGACGGTGATTGGGCATCTGGACAATGTGGCCGGTCCAGCGGACTTGATGGCGGAGGACCATCGCTTCAATGCTGGTGTTCTTTGCTTCTTCCAGCACGCTGACATTTGTCTGCTTCTCTTCCCAAGAGATTTGCAGGATTTTCTGGAGGCAGCACTGATGGAATCGTTCCAGGAGTTGCATGTGATGTCTGTAGATAGTCCACGTTTCGCAGGCATATAGCAGGATTGGGAGGACAATAGCTTTATAAACAAGCACCTTGTTGCCTACGGATGTCTCAGTCCTCAAACACAGTGTTGAGTTTCAGTGTCAATGTTGACTTTTGTGGAGAAGTGGCTGCCAAGGGAGTGGAAATGGTCCACATTTTCTAATGTTACACCATTAAGCTGTATTTCTGGCATTGGAGAGGGATTGACCGGTGACTGCTGGAAGAGCACTTTGGTTTTCTCAGTGTTTAATGACAGGCCGAGCTTCTCGTATGCTTCTGCAAAGGTGTTTAGAGTGGCTTGTAGGTCTTCTTCTGAATGCGCACAGATGTAAAAGATGTAGAAGAGACTGGAGAATAGAAGAGAGTTACTTATATATAGTAGCACCAACTCTGTGCAGGATGCTTTACAGAGGAGAGGGCTTTGGGAGCCGTAGTTCCCCTGCTATCTTCGTTTCACCTGGGGTCAATAGGCAGATTGGTTTCCTGACATGCTGGCCAACAGGACTCTGAGTTAGGCTGAGCATTTGGCAAACTTTTCCAATGTGTGTGACACGTTTTGGCATGAGCAGTGCACAAATACATCCACAAATACATTGGTCCCAGCCTGGATTCCTTTACCAAAGATTCCCATTCCAGTAAAAACTGCAAAAGAGATGCAGTAAGTAAGTACGATCAGTCTGTCAAGCTCACATCACTGTTCCTATCACCAAAGGCAAGTCGAATGGAAGCTCCTGACAGCTTTCTCTTGCCTTCTATTAATGGCGGTTCCATTGAAGTGCCATGCCTTCGTGAGTTCTTCTAATCCTCTTAAAAAGGCATCTAAACCTCACTTAGCTATGCTCTAAGCCCAGTCACTCAAGCAGGTCCTGTGTCAATAAGTCCCTTCCCTCACCAACCAGGAGGATCTTACTTATCACCTCCAGTTGGTATCCTCATGTTTTGGAGAGAAAAAATGGCTTTGGTTGCATGGCTGCTCGTTATTATAATTTCATACAATCCTAGACATGAGAAAGATGCCAAATGCTATGCAGTCCAGGTGCCTACTATACAGGAAAACACAATCAATGCCCTCCCAACAAATGGCCATTCCAAGTAGACTGGAATGTACTTAGTCCTAATCTTTTTTTATACTGGTTTTAAACCACTTTATTGGCTGTGTTGAAATAGCAGATTCCCAGATTAGTTTAGTGTTTACACCTTCTTTATTTTTCTGGTTATTTAACATTTAAGTTTATTTTATTTAAGTGATATTTGTCTTCACTGTTCTATTGTAGCACAAATCCTATGTAAAATTATACTACGTATTTTTGACATTAATATTAAAATCTGAAATGTATACAGAAAGTCTTTACTTTAAAACTCTCCAGAGAAGGAGACTCTACCAGACCTCAAAATAAATGTATTTATTCATTTACAACACTGGCAAAAATTCAATGCCGCAAATATCACAATATAACAACAATATAAAACCATAAATACACAATAGATTAAAAAACAATAACATTAATTATACAGTCATAGAGCCGCAGGCATGTAGCCGGGGGAGGGGCTTGGGGGACTTCAGCCCCCCCCCTCCCCGAAATTTTCATGGTGGTCTGCGAGAAGGCCTTACTGGTACATTATTTAAACTGTTATGTTTATTCATATCATGATCTGATCACCATGCTCAATATATCCCATATGCCTGGGGGTATTGGGGTAACGATACAAAAGGTTTGCTAGGGTAGGCCCTCTTTCACTCAGACTCAGCCCCCCCGAACCAAACTCAGCCCCCCCCAAAAAAAACAAAATCCTGGCTACGGGCCTGCAGAGCCGTTTCCATTATCATAACAATAATATGGTCTAGTTCAATGTCCAAAGTGCCGTTATGCCTGCTAGCCAAAAGCTTGGTTCCAAAACTATGATTTCAATTTTTTCCTAAAGGAAAGGAAAGGAGGGAGGATGCTGATCTAATCTCACTGGGGAGTGAATTCCACAAGCAGAGGGGTCACCACTGAGAAGGCCTTGTCCCTCGTCCCCACCAGACGCGTTTGTGAGGACGGTAGGACTGAGAGCAGGGCCTCCTCGGTGGATATGGAACATAGAGAGAGATACGTTCAGACAAGTAAGCTGGGCCAGAGCCGTATAGGGCTTTATAGGCCAAGACCAGCACTTTGAATTGTGCTCGGAAATGGACCAGCAGCCAGTGCAGTTAACATAATGGGAGTGGTGTACTCCCTGTATGGTGCTCCGGTGAGCAATCTGGCTGCTGCCTGTTGGACGAGTTGAAGTTTCCAATCAGTCTTCAAAGGCAATCCCACATAGTGTTGCAGTAATCTATTCGGGATTGTTCTGGTACAGCTGTACTAGGAGCTCCAATTTTGTTAGCTTTACATTAAATGTTTGTTTGCAGTCCTAGATTTCAGGAACTCTGCAGATAGGCGGCTTCTTTTGGCTGCAGTCATAGGGCAAGTCACCTGCCCATCATCGTTGAGTTTGGTCCTGCCTCTTGCTCAGGGCAATTGGGAAGGGAGCCATTTTTTAGTTAGTCTCAGCAAGGAAAGCTATGTACAGGATGTGTGTAAACTTCCCCTGTACAAAAGCTTCAACCTTTAAGAACTCCAGGGAGCATTCCCACAGCTTTAAGAATTTCCAGGAAAACAGCCCTAAAGACTAAAGAACTCCAGCTGGAGAACATCTACTGCCTTGTTGGTAGGTTCACTTGGCGTTCGAGACGCAGTTCGACCCAGTAGCGGAGCCCACATCAGTAAGGGTTAGATTTCAGTCAGCCTGGGAGAAGTTAAAAAGGGGGATTTTCCTTTAAAGAAAAAGTTATTGAAAACAGTTGCTTGCCCTTCATGGGCAAGATTAGGAATTCACCAGTTGCCTAAAAGCTTGGAATCATTTGCTTAACTTTACTGAAGACAAGAGAAGTTTCTGTTTGATTGTTCATTAATAAAAGGCTTCGTTGTACTTCTCAAGCCATCTAAAGACTATTTGTGGTGGAAACCTCTGAGAACTTCTCCTTGGGCCCCTGGCTTCCCGCTGGGCAAAGGTTACACATCCTGTACTAAAGACAATTAATTACAGGCCCAGCGCGCGACAGAACAGGGATGTAAGTGTGGACCACCGTGGCCAGATCAGACAGCCAGTAGGCTGTTAGGAATTGTGGGAGTTGAAGTCCAAAACACCTGGAGGGATGAAGTTTGCCCATGCCTGGTCTAACAGCTCTTACTTCCAGGAAGCTCTTCCTAATGTTTAGGTGGAATCTCTTTCCCTGCCACTCTCAATTGCTATTTCTTAATTTTAGAAGAGACCGCCAACAGCTAGGTGAAAGTAACAGGGAAAAAATCAACTTTGTTCTGAACAGCGAATGTGCCTCATAAAGTAAGGCCTGTTTTCTGAACGGAAACTAGTGCTTCCGTAGACTGTGATTACACTTGCACCGAAAGTATATGCTCTATTTTTGACTTCATGCGCACAACGTTTGGCATATGCCTGTGTGTTTAATGCAAATGTATGCCCTTGCTGTGGACCTCGTGCCTTTTGTTCTGGGTCGTGGTGCTTATTTGCCTATTCTAGGTTTCTCTTAAGAACTGGAAAGCAGCGAAATGGCTTTTCAAGCTCGTGGATGTGAGCATGGATGTCTGATGTGCTGTAAGTGGTGTGGAATCTTGTGGATTTCTTGGATTGCAGGTCATTGGAAATATGCAAATGATGACAGAAGTGCTTATGTACCCTTCAGCTCTTGTCTGGAATAGTTTTCTTGGATTCACCGTGTAATCATCGCTCTGGAGTTGGATCCAGAAGCAGTTTCGGCTGGAGTCGAATTTCATAGAAATATAATGACTCCAGTTTCAAAATATGTGTTATTCTCAAATTTATATGTATAATATTTGAGATAGAATTGTTTCTCCACATTTGTAGTTTTGATGTTAGCTAATTTGGTTTGTTCACGTATTTGATTAAAAATATTATCTCTCAAAGGCTCCTTCTTTGGACATTGGAAAAAGAGGTTGGATGGCCATCTGTTGGGTGTGCTTTGAATGTGATTTTCCTGCTTTTTGGAGGAATTGGGTTTGACTGGATGACCCACAAGGTCGCTTCCAACTCTAGGATTCTGTAGTTTGTCCCATGCAATTTTATGGACACTTGCCTCCAGCAATCTCTGGGTCCTCCAATATGATTCTATGGTCATTTTCCTACTGAATTTGAATATAGACTCATGCTGGGAGACCCTAAAACTTCCTAGAGAGTTGTTGTTTCGGTAAAAAATAGAAATATTGTTATGTTTTATGCAATATTACGCTTTCAAAATTTTAAGGGCTTTCAAAAAATTAAGACCCTAGTTTGTGGCATTTGCATTCATGAGGAAAGTTTTCCCATTGAGAAATTTTAATCCAAGAAATATATTTTGTGTTGTGTGATAATTCACAAGGCAGTGGTGAAATGCCGTGTTTCTCCATTTTGCTGGAGTAAATACTTCATTGCCAATATACAGCCAGGAAGCATCCCAACACTCCTGTTGTGGCTCAGCTGGAGCCTCAGGCAGAAGATGATGGGATTCAGATTCATGAAGATGTTCCTGTTGTTTTCGAAGAAGAATCTGAGCTGGTTCAGTTTCCCATGGCAAGGAATGTTTCAGATGATGTTTCTGATGTTAGTGAAACTACCCAGGTGCAGGTTGAAGATTCCCAGCCTGATGATTGAGGATTCCCAGCCTGATGATTCTCAGGCGGCTAATGAGCTATCTGGCCTTGAGAGCTCTGAAGATCTAGATAGGGAGGATCGCTTACAATTCGGTTCCGGTCCAGTGTATCTGTCCGAACGTATCTCCCTCTACGTCCCACCCCAGAATTTGAGATCATCTGGGGGGGCCCTGCTCTCGACCCCACCGCTATCCCAAGTGAGGCTGGTGAGGATGAGGAGCAGGGCCTTCTCAGTGGTGGCCCCTCACCTGTGGAACTCACTCCCGGGGGAAATTAGGGCATCAACATCCCTCCTCTCCTTCAGGAGGAAGGTAAAGACGTGGTTGTGGGGCCAGGCCTTCGGGCAATCTGCTAACTAGATAAGGACAACCAGACGAATAGGACTGACAGGACTGACAATTGTGGAATTGGAATTTGAACTATGAGATAGCGAACGCTGACCGGCAATAAGGAGTAATTGGTTTGTATGGATTTTTATTGGTTTTATCGGTTTATAGATGTAATGTAGAATTGTGGTTTGATTGCTAATTTATCCTATTTTGTTTTATTACTGTTGTGTGATACGGGCATCGAATTGTGCCTTGTTTTTGTAAGCCGCCCTGAGTCTCCTTCGGGGTGAGAAGGGTGGGGTAGAAGTAAACCAAATAAATAAATAAATTCAAAGTTCGGCGCAGTGCGAGGTTTACTAACAAGAGGGAGGTTAGGGGTCATCGGAATAGTTCATGCTGGGAAGGTATATTAAACGGGGTGTTTGAAGGCCAATCTTTGTCAGTGCAACTTCTGCGAACAACCTGGTAACTTCTTTGGATTGCCTTGGCTTTTGGGCAATGTTCTTGGCTTCCTGGGACGCTGTCATGCTCTCATGGAATCTTGTTTGATTGATGTTCTTTGGATTATGCTTCATGCTGTTTGCTATTGAACTTTTGGAACTAACTTTTGCATTTAAGATTTTTCCTTTCTTCAATAATTTATTATTTATTTATTTATTTACAGCTTTTATCTTCCACCCTTCTCACCCCGCAGGGGACTCAGGGCGGATTACAGTGTACACATATATGGCAAACATTCAATGCCAATTTTTGACATACAAACATATACAGACATAGACAGAGGCTATTTAACTTTTTCTGGCCGCCAGGGGAGCTGTCGCTTTCATCATCCATCTGCGACGCTGATGAAGCACTTCCGCATTCCCCGCATGCTTCCCCGCTGGAATGCTTTGCTGGAGTCTTCTTTATGGCCTCATAAATCAGTTAATTTAGCCTCCCACACTTTAAGGTGGTACCTTATTTTCCTAATTGACAGATGCAACTGTCTTTCGGGTTGCAAAGGTCGACAACAGGCTACACACAATTGGTTGGAAACCCACTCCAACCCGGGCTGGCTTCGAACTCATGACCTTTTGGTCAGAGTGATCTTAATGCAGCTGACACTCAGCCAGCTGCGCCACAATAAACTACAAAATTTTCAGCCTTTGTGTGGTTTGGTGTTTGGAGCAAGGTGACTCTACTCCAGTGACTCTACTCCAGTGGAAAGAAGTGATGAGCGGAGTGCCGCAGGGTTCCGTCCTGGGCCTGGTCCTGTTCAACATCCTTATTAATGACTTAGATGAAGGGCTAGAAGGCATGATCATCAAGTTTGCAGACGACACCACATTGGAAGGGATAGCCAAGACTCCAGAGGACAGGAGCAGGATTCAAAACACTCTTCACAGATTAGAGAGATGGGCCAAAACTAACAAAATGAAGTTCAACAGTGACAAATGCAAGATACTCCCCTTTGGCAGGAAAAACAAAATGCAAATATATAGAATGGGGGATGCCTGGCTTGAGACCAGTACGTGTGAAAAAGATCTTGGAGTCCTCGTGGACAACAAGTTAAACATGAGCCAACAATGTGATGTGGCGGCAAAAAAAGCCAATGGGATTTTGGCCTGCATTAATAAGAGCATAGTGTCTAGATCTAGGGAAGTAATGCTACCCCTCTATTCTGCTCTGGTTAGACCACATCAGGAATATTGTGTCCAATTCTGGGCACCACAATTCAAGAGAGATATTGACAAGCTGGAATGTGTCCAGAGAAGGGCGACTAAAATAATCAAGGATCTGGAGAACAAGCCCTATGAGGAGCAGCTTAAGGAGCTGGGCATGTTTAGCCTGAAGAAGAGAAGGCTGAGAGGAGATACGATAGCCATGTATAAATATGTGAGAGGAAGCCACAGGGAGGAGGGAGCAAGCTTGTTTTCTGCTTCCTTGGAGACTAGGACGCAATAGAACAATGGCTTCAAACTACAAGAGAGGAGATTCCACCTTAACATGAGGAAGAACTTTCTGACTGTGTGAGCCGTTCAGCGGTGGTACTCTCTGCCCCGGAGTGTGGTGGAGGCTCCTTCTTTGGAAGCTTTTAAGCAGAGGCTGGATGGCCATCTGTCAGGGGTGATTTGAATGCAATATTCCTGCTTCTTGGCAGAATGGGGTTGGACTGGATGGCCCAGGAGGTCTCTTCCAAATCTTTGATTCTATGATTCTATGATTATGGCTGTGAAAGCTTTTGACAATACTTGTATATCTTCCTATGTCTGCACTTCCTTTAACCACGCTGCTCTGTTGCAGATCTGATGCCTTCCTTCATCCGCCATGGACCAACCATCCCGAGACGGACAGACCTCTGCCTTCAGGACCCTGCTCCGGCTGCCTTCTCTGCGGTTGGGGACGGGGCCGTGTCCCGGAACCAGAGCTTCCTCCGGACCCCCGTCCAGAGGCCTCCACACGAGGTCCTCCGTAGGGAAAGCCACCGGCTCTCGGCCCCTTCCTACCTGGCCCGGGGTTTGGCCGACGTGCCCCGGGAGTATGGTGCCTCTTCACAGTCCTTCCTGACCGAGGCCAACCCTGGAACTGAGAACGGCGAGGCGGGCCCCCGTTACTATTACGACCACTTCTACAATGGCCAGAGGCGGCACCCGCTGGGGGAGCACCTGCAGGAGGAGTACCGATACTATGAACACAACAACGACCTCGTCCAGAGGATGCCGCACAATCAGGGAAGGCACAATTCAGGCAAGTCTCCTTGTAATCCATCTTTGTTTGCAGTGGTGTTCTTTGTGGTGTACAATGTGTTGCTGGTACCTGTGGGAGAATACGTTCCCTACCAGACAGCACTTGCATGCAGGTACAAACATGCCAGAGAGAATTTAGAGATTCCTAGAGATAGATAGCCAAGTCTTATCATTTAATCAAGTTTTAAGTGCTCAAATGTTTTGCAGGAGTGTTGGGTGGGATAGGGATTTGTGTTTATTGTGTCTTTGTATACTTGTATTTTACTGTTGATATAGAGGACTAATCAGTAAACAAATCTATAACCAAGTGTTCCATCACAATGGCTACTTCTGGAGGAAACATCCCATGGAATTCCCTAGAACACGGCTTCTTAAACTGTATTATTATTATTATTATTATTATTATTATTATTATTTACAGTATTTATATTCCGCCCTTTTCACCCACAGGGGACTCAGGGCGGATTACACTGTACATAAACATGGCAAACATTCAATGCAATAGACACACAAGATATATAGACAGACACACAGAGGCTATTTACATTCCAGCGTTTTCATTAGGATATTCTGGTCACCGGGGGAGCTGTCATTTCACCGTCCATTTGTGACACTGATGCAGTACTTCCTCATTCTTTGCATGCTTGCTGGAGATTTTTATGGCATCGTAAATTGGCCTCCCCGCATAAGCGGTACCTAAATTTCCTACTTGACAGATGCAACTGTCTTTCGGGCTACAAAGGTTGACAGCAAGCTACACAAATTGGTCGGAAGCTCACTCCGAACCGGGCTGGCCTCAAACTCATGACATCTTAATGCAGCTGACTCCCAGCCACTCCCAGCCACAGTCCTGGTGCATGTAGGTCCCAACCCCAAATGGGATTCCCTGAGCTCAGTATTGGGGTCACGGGAGAATTGGCAACCCTGAAAGGTTTCTCAACGCCATCTGTTTACACATGCAACAATGTGCAGAGTTTACAGTGGCGTCTGCAGAAATGCCTCAGCTATATTCTGTAAAAAGGAAAATTAGACCATAGAATCCTAGAGTTGGAAGAGACCTCATGGGCCATCCAGTCCAACCCCATTTTGCCATGAAGCAGGAAAATCACATTCAAAGCACCCCCGACAGATGGCCATCCAGCCTCTAATTAAAAGCCTCCAAAGAAGGAGCCTCCACCACATTACAGGGCAGAGAGTTCCACTGCTGAACATCTCCCACAGTCAGGAAGTTCTTCCTAATGTTCCTTTCTTGTAGTTTGAAGCCGCCTCGAGTCACCGGAAAGCTGAGAGGGGTGGTATACAAATACAATAAACAAACAAACAAATAAATAAGTCTTTGATCTGTGTCCTAGTCTTCAGGGAAGCAGAAAACACGCTTGCTCCCTCCTCCCTATGACTTCCTCTCATGTATTTATATATGGCTATCTTGTCTTCTCTCAGCCTTCTCTTCTTCAGGCTAAGCATGCCTAGCTCTTTAAGCCGCTCCTCATAGGGCTTGTTCTCCAGACCCATCTTATGATTTCACAACTTCTGCACCAGGTGCCAATGTGTGTGTGTTTCACTTTCCTGTTAAAATCATTAATTTACTTGTATAAAAGCATGTTTGCTGTTCTCATTACACTTGCCAGCAGATATCAGGGCTTATAAAATATTGTATGTGTGGACATCATCCCAGGCTGCCTTGCAGTGAGTCTGGGAGGCCAGTATTGTAAAGTCAGGGAATCCTATTGGGAGGGAGAACCAAGAGACCTTGTGAGTGAGATGCCAGTCTTTGTGGCATGTTTTCAAGAAAGAAAGGGACGGGGAAAGCAGGTGGCAAGTGCAGATTGCCTTCCTGGGCTATTTTTCAGCTACAGCCAGTGCAGTTTTCACAAAACTGGAAAAGGCAGTGGTTGCAGAAAGAGAGAATAGACTGTTCTTTACATGTGATTTAAATTATAACCCCCGTATCAGTGGTAGACACATTACTGAGGTTTTTTTAATACCAGTAACTAGATTTTGTTCATTTTTATGGTTTCCTCCTTTCTGTTGAGATTGTCCACGTGTTTGTGGATTTCAATAGCTTCTCTGTGTAGTCTGACATGGTGGTTGTGAGAGTCGTCCAGTATTTCAGTGTTCTCAAATAATATTATGTGTCCAGGTTGGTTCATCAAGTGCTCTGCTATGGCTGAATTAGTTTGCAGTACCTTTTGTGTTCTGTGATTCGTGTTTGGGCAATGCTGCTGCATTTGGTGGTCCTTCTGTAGACTTGTCCAGAGCTGCATGGCATACGGTAGTCTCCTGCAATGCTTAGAAGATCCCTCTTGTCCTTTGCTGAACATAGCATTCATTGACTTTTCTTAATGGGTCTGTAGATAGTGTGTAGGTTGTGTTTCTTTCTCAGCTTCCCTATACAGTCAGAAGTTCCCTTAATGTACAATAAGAACACTTTTCCTCTGGGTGGGTCTTTGTCTCGACTCTCATGGTCTTGTTCTCGCAGCTCTTCTGATGTCTGTGGTCTCCATTGGCCTGTAAAACCCAGTTTAGGTGGTTCCGTTAGTCTTGGAGGAGATGGGTTTCACAGAGTCTTTTTGCACCATCTGCCAGGATTTTGATTGTGCTTCTATGGATGTGAGAGCTGGACCATAAGGAAGGCTGAGCAAAGGAAGAGAGATGCTTTTGAACTGTGGTGCTGGAGGAAAATGCGGAGAGTGCCTTGGACTGTGAGAAGATCCAACCAGTCCATCCTCCAGGAAATAAAGCCCGACTACTATGAGAGGCAAAGATGAAGTCCTTTGGCCACATCATGAGAAGAAAGGAAAGCTTGGAGAAGGCAATGTTGCTGGGGAAAATGGATGGAAAAAGGAAGAGGGGCAACCAAGGGCAAGATGGATGGATAGCATCCTTGAAGTGACAGGCTTGACCCTGAAGGAGCTGGGGGAGGTGACGGCCGACAGGAAGCTCTGACGTGGGATGGTCCATGAGGTCACAAAGAGTCGAAAGTGACTGAAAGAAAAAACAAAGTTTTCTCTGAAAACTGTTCATTCCCCATGAATGATTTATTTTTAAACTTATCTCATTTAGATTGGGTTGTTGTAGTTTTTTTCGGGCTATATGGCCATGGTCTAGAGGCATTTTCTCCTGACATTTCGCCTGCATCTATGGCAAGCATCCTCAGAGGTAGTGAGGTCTGTTGGAACTAGGGAAAGGGTTTATATATCTGTGGAATGACCAGGGTGGGACAAAGGACTCTTCTCTGATGGAGCGAGGTGTGAATGACTGCCTGGAGCAATCTTTTGTTGAGAGGTGATTAGATGTCCTTGTTTGCAAGAGTCCTTTGTCCCACCCTGGTCATTCCACACATATTTGAACCCTTTTTCCTAGTTCCAACAGACCTCACTACCTCTGAGGATGCTTGCCATAGATGCAGGCGAAACGTCAGGAGAGAATGCCTCTAGAACATGGCCATATAGCCCGAAAAAACCTACAACAACCCAGTGATTCCGGCCATGAAAGTCTTCAACAATACATTGAACATCTCGTTTAGATTGTTAGCTGCCTTGAGTCTCCTCAGAGAGAAAGGCGGGGTGTAAATAAAGTTAATAATGATAATAACACTAGGATATGGCTCTTCAAAAACCCACCCAATGTTTGCCTTGGACATGGCTCTTCTTTGGGTGTGACAGAATGTTGTTTTTTTCATGTGGGTTCCTCGTATTTACAATCGGAAGTTCATCAGAATTCTTGAACATCTTCCTGAAGAATGACTCAAATGCATTAAAATGTAAACAAATGGGTCTGTGAGCATCTTGCACTTTTACCCAACTCTCTTCCTTATGAAACACACTGCAGGCAAGTTGGTTGTTTAGTGTGTGTATGGAAAAATAAATCTTGTAGGCAGGAATGTCAAGACTTTGGGGTGACTGACCTCAAGTATGTGACGGTTGTTTTGAGAAAGAGACCCTTTGCTTGCAGATGGTTTTTCGTCCAAAGAGAGGCAGCCTGCTGTGGCGCATGAAGCGTTTAGTCCTTTGATTTCTGTACATTCTCATTTTGGTTTGTTTGAGGGATTACTGGCAGTATGTATGACTTCTTCGGATCAGCAGGAAAGCATATCAGGTGTCAGATAGGTCCAATAGTTCCCATCTGTCCTTTGTGCCGTCCTATTAATCATCCCTCCTTTCCTCATAGTTTGAGAGGAGGTTGGGCTTGAAGAGACAAGTCTAATGGGGTCTCTCCGCAGCAAGCGCATAATGGTCTGAGGAGACCAGTTATGAGAAGAGGGTTGGAAGCTCTGGGCTGCCTGGCTGGCTGCCACTGGTGCGCATTGAGGCCTGAAGGCATGACGTTATGGCCGAGAGGAAGAAGCCAAGCCACAAATTAAGCTGGAGCTTCCTCAGCCTTTCCACTGAAATAAGAGAAATTTTAAGATCCACAAGCAGCCAAACAGGAAACATTTACAGGGTTTCAGACTTGGATCAAGGTGGGAAGGAAGCTTTTTGTCTTCAGAGGAAGCTGGTTTCTTTGCGCATAGATTTAAAGCAGTTGTCTTCGAACTGAAAACATCTTCCTGCTCCAAAATATATGGATGGTGGGTTCCTTCTTGGAAGGGATCAATATCACCACGTGTGAAATGTCTATCAGGATATTATGATGCTGAAACTGGAAGGGAGGTCTCTCTGAAGCTTCTCCAAGGGACAGACTTCGGAAAACAGGATGCGCACTGCTTTGGGTGAGTTCATAGGCACTTGGATCCTCAGGATGAAGTTGCGCTGTGGGTGCAGCCATATTGAAAGGCTGATGAATCGTTGTCTTCTTTGTTGATGTGCCCTGTTTCTTGCTGTTGTGACCATCGTGGCATTATCATAGAATCCTAGAGTCAGGTGGCAGGAAGACACAATCAAAGCCCTCCCAACAGGTGGCCATCCAGTCTCTGCTCAAAAGCTCCAGAGAAGAAGGAGACTCCACCTGGTTCTCAGGCAGCAGATTCCACTGTTGAACAACTCTTACCTTCAGGAAGTTCTTTCTAATCTTTAGGTGGAATCTTTTTTCCCCCCTGCTGTTGAACCCATTGCTCCATTGTGTCCTTGTCTCTACAACAGCAGAAAACAAGTTTGGTCCTTTTTCCTCAGTGAGACATCTTCGCAAATATTTCAACATAGTTATCTCTTCTTATCTCTAGATGTTAATTTGCATCATCTCCATCCTTCAGGATTTGTCACTGTGGTAGCAACAACACATAGCATTGCTTTATTTTAGTTATTGAAGTAAAGGGCCTGTCTAATAACAACAAATCTTGGTGCTGGCAGGAATAATACGAGTCACTTCAAAACAGTGTACCAATGTCAGCAAAATGAAACCTACATTCTGAAGTTTATTTCTCCACATACCTTCATGTGTTATTTATCTGAATGAGGGATTCTATATATATGAACTCTATGTACACAAACTCTGTATCCAGCTTCGTTTTCCTGTTGCAGTAGGCCTTCCACTTTCATGGGGATAGTAGTGAAGAAGCCCAGTGACAGTGGAAAGACTGCAGATTTTTATATACTTGAGCGTAAGCTGAGTTTTTCAGCCCTTTTTTAGGCTGAAAAATCCCCTCTTGGCTTATACTCAAGTCAAGGTTATTTATTATTTTATTCTGTTATTATTTTATTACATTTATTATTTTACTCTATTATTATTACATATATTATTTTACTCTATTATTATTATTATTATTATTACATTCATTATTTTACTCTATAGTTATTGCATTTATTATTTTACTCTATTATTACTGTTATTATTATATTTCCATTTGTACACTATTATTATTATATTTATTATTTTACTCTATTATTATTTAATCAGAGTTGGACAGTTTTACCTTAAATTACAGTTTTATGTAATTTAATTTATTACGGATGCCTCAATTCATGTAATTTTATTGGTATCTATTTTTATTTTGAAATTGGCAAGTAACTGCTGCATTTCACACCCTCAACTTATACCACCGAGAAGGCCCTGCTCCTCGTCCCCGCCAATCTCACTTGTGATAGAGGCGGGGTCGAGAGCAGGGCCTCCCCAGAAGATCTTAAACTTCGAGGTGGGATGTAGAGGGAGATCCGTTCGGACAGATACACTGGGCCGGAACCGTATAGGGTTTTGTAGGTCAAAACCAGCACTTTGAATTGTGCTCGGAACTGGATCGGCAGCCAGTGGAGCTGACACAACAGGGGGGTGGTATGCTCCCTGTATGACGCTCCGGTGAGCAATCTGGCTGCCTCCCGCTGGACTAGTTGGAGTTTCCGAACAGTCTTCAAAGGCAACCCCATGTAGAGTGCGTTGCAGTAATCTAATCGGGATGTAACAAGAGCGTGGACCACTGTGGCCAGATCCAACTTCCCAACTTTAGGAATCTCTAGGTCCCTCAGCATGCATCTATGGTCAGGTTATGGTAGAAACTGAGCATGGAGTTGCACTGGAGGAAGTAGAGCAGAACTTTTCAAGCATTTTAGAGACATATCATTTTGCAACATGGTAATTCAGTTTTACTAGCAAACTGGAAGTTAAGCCAATCCCTTTTAAGAGATATGGACATAGACATACATTGTTATAGCAAAATGCTGGTGACACAACATGCCTGATTAAAAGACATTCATTTGTATATTTTTTTTAAAAAATATGACTTACTCCTTTTTTCACAGAGACACAGAAGTTTTGTACAACAAGCCTACACACTGCAGCCAACACACTAACCTGCCACAACACACATCTTGGGAAGCTCTGACCTAGAGATTACTAGAGAGAACATGTTAATCAAACCTGCAAAAGCTAAACATGAAAATGTAGAGCACTGCTTGAGAGTAATAAACATTAGTAGTGGAATTGGCTCTTTCCGTTTCCTGGCCTGTATCAAATGGGCAAGAGAAATAGAGTTAGTACCCAATTCCCTGTCAACCTGCAGAAAAATCCTTGAGAAGAGGCTGGCAACTCATTCTGTGGCCTTTATGCCTTTCTGGGCTCCTTTTTGGCAGCTGGGCAAAGTCCTTCCATGCCAGGGCCGCGCTGCCAGGACTGTAAACAGTCCCATTCATTGTTCTGTTTCCCTGGGGGAATGTGAGCCGGCCGGGTCATGCTTCTGTGCAGAGAATGCCAGGCTCATGAACCAGCTTCCTCCCTGCTTTCTGGGCCTTCGTCATTGGAAAAACATACTCTCTTTAGAGCAACCTTCCCCTTCCGCAGGTCAGCCTTTGCATTACCTCCAGCCAAAGGAGCCAAGTTCTAGCCATTGCTTATCAATGGATATCAGGTGTACCGGGTGGCCAGTTATAAGTTCCTGGGTGTTACTGTTAAGGAAGAACTGACTTGGGGCAGCGTTCATTCTCTGGCTACGTTGGTGAAGAGGGCTCAGCAGAGACTGTATTATCTGAGACTTTTAAGGAACCAACAATTGAATGAAAAACTGTTGGTGACTTTCTCTAGCTGTGCTATAGAAAGTGTTCTAACCTATTTCACCTATTGCGTAGGGTTTGCACAATAGCACATAGGAGAGGGTTCGAACCTATTGTATCTATTGTGTGTGGTTTGCTATTTGCACCTTGGCAGATAGGAGAGGGTTGTAACCTATTTCATCTATTGCGTATGGTTTGCTATTTGCACAATAGCAGAGGGTTCTAACCTATTGCATATATTGGCAGATAGGAGAGGGTTCTAACCTATTGCATATATTGTGTAGGGTTTGCTATCTGAGATTTTTAAGGAGCCAACAATTGAATGAAAAACTGTTGGTGACTTTCTCTAACTGTGCTATAGAAAGTGTTCCAACCTATTTCATCTATTGAGTATGGTTTGCTATTGCACAGTAGCAGATAGGAGAGGGTTCTAACCTATTCCATCTATTGAGTATGGTTTGCTATTTGCACCCTGGCAGATAGGAGAGGGTTCTAACCTGTTGTATCTATTGCGTATGGTTTGCTATTTGCACCCTGGCAGATAGGAGTGGGTTCTATCCTATTCCATCTATTGCGTATGGTTTGCTAATTGCACAGTAGCAGATAGGAGAGGGTTCTAACCTATTCCATCTATTGAGTATGGTTTGCTATTTGCACCCTGGCAGATAGGAGAGGGTTCTAACCTGTTGTATCTATTGCGTATGGTTTGCTATTTGCACCGTGGCAGATAGGAGAGGGTTCTAACCTATTCCATCTATTGAGTATGGTTTGCTAATTGCACAATAGCAGATAGGAGAGGGTTCTAACCTATTGCAGATATTGCGTAGGGTTTGCTATTTGCACCCTGGCAGATAGGAGAGGGTTCTAACCTGTTGTATCTATTGCGTATGGTTTGCTATTTGCACCCTGGCAGATAGGAGTGGGTTCTATCCTATTCCATCTATTGAGTATGGTTTGCTAATTGCACAGTAGCAGATAGGAGAGGGTTCTAACCTATTCCATCTATTGAGTATGGTTTGCTATTTGCACCATGGCAGATAGGAGAGGGTTGTAACCTATTGCATCTATTGCATAGGGTTTGCTATTTGCCCCGTGCCAAATAGGAGAGGGTTCTAACCTATTATTATTATTATTATTATTATTATTATTATTATTATTATTGTTATAACTTTATTTGTACCCCACTAGCATCTCCCAAAGGACTCGATGTGGCTTACAAAGGCCAAGGCCTCAAAACACAACATAACAATACAAAACCTAAAGCAAATTAAAAACAGTTAAAGCAATATTAAACAACAACAATAAACAATACAGCAAGACACTATAAAACTGGGCCGGGCCAGAGTAATGGGTACAGGATTAAAAGTGCTGATGTGACAGGCGATATGTAAGGATTATAGGGTAAGCACAGTGTGCAGTGTGCAGTAATCTTAATTCTAATAAAGTGCTTCTGGGACTTGGTATTGGAGTTTCTTATTCTGGAAAGGCACATTGGAACAGCCAGGTCTTCAAGTTCTTTCTGAAGACTGCCAATATAGGGGACTGTCTAAGATCTTTTGGGAGGGTGTGCCAGAGTCAGGGGGCCACCACAGAAAAGGCCCTGTCTCGCGTCCCCACCAAACGGAATCACGAGCAGGACCTCTCTGGATGAACGAAGTGAGCGCGTGGGTTCATAAACGGAGATGCGGTCACGCAGGTAGGATGGTCCCAAACCGTTTAGGGCTTTGTAGGTAAGCACCTGCACCTTAAATTGGGCTCGGAAAATAAACGGCAGCCAGTGGAGCTCCTTGAACAGGAGGGTTGACCTCTCTCTGTAAGGAGCACCAGTTAACATCCTGGCTGCTGCTCGTTGGACCAGTTGTATTGCATCTATTGCGTATGGTTTGCTATTTGCACCGTGCCAAATAGGAGAGGGTTCTAACCTATTGTGATTGTTTTCTATTTGCTATTTGCACTAGGAGTAGACAGGGCGCTTTCAGCCCCCCAGATGTTTTGGACTTCATCTCCCACAATTCCTAACAGCCGAATTGTGGGAGTTGAAGTCCAAAACACCTGGAGGGCCCAAGTTTGCCCAGGCCTGATGTAGGGGTTCATATCTGTCCTGCATTACGAAAATACTTCTGCTTTGACTTGCCAATATCAATGAAGCCAGAAGAGCTGAGAACATTTTTCTCGCTGCTGGAACTCTTGTGACAGGAAACCGTAAATCAACACTTGAGGATGTGTTATGGAGCTGATTGTAATCTCTGGTGCTTCTTCCTTTGTTGCCGTAACCAGTTGGGACAAGCCTAGTTGAGACAGTTTGCTTCACTGATGCTCTGTTTTGCTTCCTTTGTGCTTTTCCAGGCCTTGGGAGGGTGGCTGCTACTTCGTTAGGAAACTTAACGAACCACAGTTCGGAAGACTTGCCTCTCCCTCCCGGCTGGACGGTGGACTGGACTCTTAGGGGGAGGAAGTACTACATTGACCACAACACCAACACCACGCACTGGAGCCATCCTCTGGAGAGGGAGGGTCTGCCTCCAGGGTGGGAACGGGTCGAATCGGCCGAGTTTGGCGTGTATTACGTCGACCACATCAACAAAAGAGCGCAATACAAGCACCCCTGTGCCCCCAGGTATCCATATTATTATTGTTGTTGTTGTTATTATTATTATTATTACTCTTATATTTATATCCTGCTTTCCCCTCTAAGGCAGGCCTGGGCCAACTTGGGCCCTCCAGGTGTTTTGGACTTCAACTCCCACCATTCCTAACAGCCAGTAGGCTGTTAGGAATGGTGAGAGTTGAAGTCCAAAACACCTGGAGGGCCCAAGTTGGCCCAGGCCTGCTAGAGCGCATGACATGTGCATCACAACATTTTGCACCATTACTAAGGGCCTCATCACACTAGAGAATGATCCACTTTAAATCCGGTTTCTGTCTCCTGCAGAATTCTGGGGTTTGTAGTTTAGGGAGGAGCCTTTAAAAGCCTCCATAAACTACAAACCCCAGAATTCTTCAGGAGGCAGAAACCAGATTCGAAGTGGATTCATTCTCTAGTGTGATGGAGCATTAAGAGTTTTGTTACCATTCTATATGTTGGGCTAACTCACCTTTGCTGGGTTGCTGTGAGTTTTCCAGGCTGTCTGGCCATGTTCCAGAAGCATTCTCTCCTGACGTTTCGCCCACATCTATGGCAGGCCTCCTCAGAGGTTGTGAGGTCTGTTGGAAACTAAGAAGTCAGGTTTATATACCTGTGGAATTATGTCCAGGGTGAGATAAAGAACTCTTCTCTGCTTGAGGCAAGTGTGAATTTTGCACACTTGATTAGCATTGAAAAGCCTTGCAGCTTCAAGGCTTGGCTGCTTCCTGCCTGGGGGAATCCTTTGTTGGGAGGTGATTAGCTGGCCATGATTTTTTCTTGTCTGGAATATTCCTATTTTTGAATATTGAGGCCTTTTAGTGCTAATCAAGGTGATTAATAGGGTTGCTGTGAGTTTTCCAGGCTGTCGGGCCCTGTTCCAGAAGCATTCTCTCCTGACGTTTTGCCTGCATCTATAGCAAGCATCCTCAGAGGTTGTGAGGTCTGTTGGAAACTAAGAAGTCAGGTTTATACACCTGTGGAATGATGTCCAGGTGGGAGAAAGAACTCTTCTTTGCTTGAGGCAAGTGTGAATGTTGCAATTGATCATCTTGATTAGCATTGAAAATCCTTGCAGCTTCAAGGTTTGGCTGCTTCCTGCCTGGAGGAATCCTTTGTTGGGAGGTGATTAGCTGGCCCTGATTTTTTCTTGTCTGGAATTCCCCTATTTTTGAGTGTTTCAATGATAATCAAGGTGATTAATTGGGTTGTTATTAGTTGTTATTAGTTTTTCGGGCTGTCTGCCCATGTTACAGAAGCATTCTCTCCTGACGTTTCATCTGCATCTGTGGCAGGCATCTTCAGAGGTTGTGAGGTCTGTTGGAAACTGGACAAGTGGGGTTTATATATCTGTGGAGTAATATCCAGGTGGAAGAAAGTACTCTTTTCTTTTGGAGGCAAGTCTGAATGCTGCAATTGATCGCCTGGATTAGGATTGAAAAGCCTTGCGTCTTCAAGGCTTGGCTGCTTCCTGCCTGGGGGAATCCTTTGTTAAGAGGTGATCAGCTGGCCATGATTTTTCTTGTCTGGAATTCCCCTATTTTTGAGTATTGAGGCCTTTCAGTGCTAATCAAGATGATTAATTGGGTTGTTGTGAGTTTTTCAGGCTGTCTAGCCATGTTCCAGAAGCATTTTCTCCTGACATTTCACCCACATCTATGGCAGGCATCCGCAGAGGTTATGAGGTCTGCTGGAAACAAAGAAGTCAGGTTTATATACGTGTGGAATGATGTCCAGCGTGGGAGAAAGAACTCTTGTCTGCTTGAGGCAAGTGTGAATGTTGCAATTGATCACCTTGGATTAGCATTGAAAAGCTTTGCATCTTCAAGGCTTGGGTGCTTCCTGCCTGGGGGAATCCTTTGTTGGGAGGAGATTAGCTGGCCCTGATTGTTTCTTGACTGGAATTCCCCCTATTTTTGCGTGTTGAGGCTTTTCAATGCTAATCAAGGTGATTAATTGGGTGGTTGTGAGCTTTCCGGGCTGTCTGGCCATGTTCCAGAAGCATTCTCTCCTGACGTTTCGCCTGCATATATGGCAGGCAGCTTCAGAGGTTGTGAGGTCTGTTGGAAACTGGGAAAGTTGCGTTTATATATCTGTGGTATGTTCAGGATGGGAGAAAGAACTCTTGTCTGCTTGAGGTAGGCTTCTTACTGCCTGGGGGAGTCCTTTGTTGGGAGGTGATTAGATGGCCCTGATTGTTTTTTGTCTGGAATTCCCCTGTTTTTGCGTGTTGAGGATTTTCAATGCTAATCAAGGTGATTAATTGGGTTGTTGTGAGTGTTCCGAGCTGTCTGGCCCTGTTCCCGAAGCATTCTCTCCTGGTGTTTTGCCCACATCTATGGCAGGCATCCGCAGAGGTTGTGAGGACTGTTGGAAACTAAGCAAGTCAGGTTTATATACCTGTGGAATGACGTCCAGGTGGGGGAAAGAACTCTTGTGTGTTTGAGATAGGTGCGAATGTTGCAGTTGGTCACCTTGATTAGCATTTAATGCCCTTGCAGTTTTGAGCTCTGGCTTCATACTGCCTGGAGTGATTAATTGTTTTTGAGTTGTAGTTGGCCATCTTGATTAGCATTTAATGGCCTTGCAGTTTCGAGCTCTGGCTTCTTACTGCCTGGAGTGATTAATTGTTTTTGAGTGGTGAAGCTTTTCCATGCTAATTAAGGCTAATCAAGGTGACCAATTGCAGAATTCACACTTGTAGTTCTTTCTCCCACCCCGAACGTTTCACAGATATATAAACCTCACTTGCCTCTGAGGATGCCTGCCACAAATGTGGGCAAAATGTCAGGAGAGAATGTTTCTGGGACATGGCCACACAGCCCGGAAAGCTCACAGTGACCCAGTGATTCCAGCTATGAGAGCCTTTGAAAACACATTGAACATCTCCTTTGCTGTTTGCAGCGTTCCCCGCTACGACCAGCCGCCTCCGGTGACCTATCAGCCGCAGCAGCAAGTGGAGCGGAGCCAGCCCATCCTGGTGCCGGCCAATCCCTACCACACGGCAGAGATCCCGGACTGGCTGCAGGTCTACGCCAGGGCACCGGTCAAGTGAGCATTGCTATTTCCTTTAACCTGAGAGAATGCTTCCCTAGGAATGTCCAGGTATTTCCAGCATGGCTGTAGGGTCAACCTTCTGCTGAAAACTGACCAAAGAATCGCATTGAAGGACCCAGAGAGTCCAAGAGAGGCATTCTCCCTTCACAGTCTCTAGGTCTTCAAGCATGTTGGGAGCATGTTGACAATAGAGATACCTGGAGATGACATTTTAAAAAAAATCAAACCTATGAATAATCATAGTTGGAAGGGACCACCTGGACCATCTAGTCCAACCCCCTGCCATACAGGAAAGGCACAATCAAAGTAGCCCTGACAGATGGCCATCCAGCCTCTGTTTAAAAGCCTCCAAGGAAGGAGCTTTAACCACACTTATTATTATTATTGTTATTATTATCATCATCATTGTTGCTGTTATTATTATTATTATTATTATTATTATTATTATTATTATTATTGCCTCTGTAAACCGCCCTGAGTCAGCTGAGGGCTGAGAAGGGCGGTATACAAATACTGTAAGTAAATAAATAAATACATAATAATTATTATTATTGTACTGTCATAGATTTTCACAGCCAACATTACTGGGGTGTTGTGTGGTTTCCGGGCTGTATGGCCGCATTCTAGCAGCATTTTCTCCTGATGTTCCACCTGCAGCGGTGGCTGGCATCTTAAGATTTATTGTTGTTTTGTTATTGTTATGTTTTATGATGAGTTATTTATTGTTGTTTTGTTGTTGTTATGTTTTATGATGTGTTTGGGCTCGGCTTCTTGTAAGCCGCACCGAGTCCTGCGGGAGATGGTAGCGGGGTATAAATAAAGGATTATTATTATTATTATTATTATTATTATTATTATTATTATTAGGGTTGGACTGGATGACCTTTAGGGCTCTGCTTTGGTTAGGCCACACCTGGAATATTGTGTCCAATTCTGGGCACCACAATTCAAGAGAGATATTGACAAGCTGGAATGTGTCCAGAGGAGGGCAACTAAAATGATCAAGGGTCTGGAGAACAAGCCCTATGAGGAGCGGCTTAAGGAGCTGGGCATGTTTAGCCTGAAGAAGAGAAAGCTGAGAGGAGATATGATAGCCATGTATAAATATGTGAGAGGAAGCCACAGGGAGGAGGGAGCAAGCTTGTTTTCTGCTTCCTTGGAGACTAGGACGCAATAGAACAATGGCTTCAAACTACAAGAGAGGAGATTCCATCTGAACATGAGGAAGAACTTCCTGACTGCGAGAGCCGTTAGTGGTGGAACTCTCTGCCTCGGAGTGTGGTGGAGGCGCCTTCTTTGGAGGCTTTTAAACAGAGGCTGGATGGCCATCTGTCAGGGGTGCTTTAAATGCAATATTCCTGCTTCTTGGCAGAATGGGGTTGGACTGGATGGCCCATGAGGTCTCTTCCAACTCCAAATCTCCAATACCAAGTCCCAGAAGCACTTTATTAGAATTAAGATTGCTGCACATTGCACACTGCACTTACCCTATAATCCTTACATATCACCTGTCACATCTGCACTTTTAATCCTGTACCCTTTACTCTGGCCCGGCCCAGTTGTATCGTGTTTTGATGTATTGTTATTGCTTGTTGTTTTGTTGTTTTAATACTGCTTTAATTGTTTTAATTTGCTTTAGGTTGTATTGTTATGTTGTGTATTGAGGCCTTGGCCTTTGTAAGCCGCATCGAGTCCTTCGGGAGATGCTAGCGGGGTACAAATAAAGTTTAATAATAATAATAATAATAATAATAATAATAATAATAATATTTGGGATTCTATGATTCTATGAGGCTGGATGGCCATCTGTTAGGGGTGATTTGAATGCAATATTCCTGCTTCTTGGCAGAATGGGGTTGGACTGGATGGCCCATGAGGTCTCTTCCAACTCTTTGATTCTATGATTCTATGAAGCCGATATAATCTCCCTAGGAAGGGCGTTCCATAGTCGAGGGGCCACCACTGAGAAGGCCCTGTCTCTCGTTCCCGCCAACTGTACTTGTGATGGTGGAGGGACCGAGAGAAGGGCTTCTCCAGATTATCTTAAAGTCCTCACAGGTTGTTGTTATATGTCTGCTTGCAACTCAAGGGGGGGGGGGGGGTGGCACAACAAAGTGGAAGTTCTCTCCCTTGAGGTCTCCTGAGAGCTCAGGAGCTCTGCTTATTCTCCTCCTTCAGGTACGACCACATCCTGAAGTGGGAGCTCTTCCAGCTGGCCGACCTGGACACCTACCAGGGGATGCTGAAGCTCCTCTTCATGAAGGAGCTGGAGCGGATCGTCAAGACGTACGAAGCCTACCGGCAGGCGCTGCTCTCGGAGCTGGAGAGCCGCAAGCAGCGGCAGCAGTGGTACGCCCAGCAGCACAGCAAGAACTTCTAGCCCGGATGTGCCTTGGATGGACTGGGAAGGGGCCTTCTCACTCTCTTGGCGGTAAATAACCACCAAACAAGGGCTTTGGTTGCAAGAGGCAACGCCTCTGCCTTGATGTCGCACCTTTTTGTAAGTATCCTCTTTGTATCTCTTGTGTACAGAAGACTTTTTGTTAGGACTGGTTTGGAGGAAAAAGACTGGAACTCCGACATCTTTGGGGTTTTTTGCTGGAGTCTCTTTTTTTAACTTGTTGGACAAGCAAAGCTTTATTTTTGAAGTCCTTTGTAAGAATTTCCACTCTGAATTTCCACTATGCAGCTGCTGGTTAGTTCAGGGCCCCTTCCTGGCTCAGTGCAACATGGATAGATCCATGTTCGCGGCAATATATAAATAAGAGCCCGGTGGACCCAACAAGATTGTTGTCGCTTAGACTCCAGCACTTAATAAACACCTGCCTTATTTTGACGGTTGATCAGATCAGTTTGGCCCAATGTTGGGATTCTTCCCAGGCTCCTCTCACGGTGGAAGGCGGCCACACGTAACCATTGGGAACACAGTCCCCGTCATAAGTAGCAGTGGACTCTTTTTTTTTAAATCTCAAGCCAAACTTGCCTCTAAATCCATGACTTTGGGGCGCCTCCACCGCAGCCTCAATGTGGTGTCTATGGGTACTCCTTCGGAGACGTGGATCGTAACCATTGTGTCCTTTAAATCTCAAATAAACTTTCTTTTTACACTTTTTGAGTGAAAACAGCCTCAGTAGGAATGTCTTCTTTCTGGTTGTATCTCTTTGGTCTGTGCGTGACTTGTTTCTGAGTGAAATAGGAAAGGTTTGGACCCTCCCGCTTTTGGGAGAAAGACCAAGGTATAATAAAGCGAATATGGGTGAAACAGTGTTGGCTGAGATAGTGAGCCCCTTAAATTTCTAATGATCCAGTATATACTAGTCATGTGCATTCAGGACTTACCTTGATCTGTTTCGTGTACCGGCTTTCAATGGGGGTCCCGATCCGTGTTCATCTGAGTCTTCCAAAATCGAGAGGTTGGATATTTATTTATTTTTTCGGGGCCGAAAAATCCATTTTCTTCCGGTCCATTATTGGAGGAGGGGGGCTTCATCCGTAGGCCCAAAGCGCCCGAGCCTACGAGTGCAAGCTTTGGGTCTACATACCTGGGCCTCGCAGGGCCTGCAGCCAATCACAGAGTAAGGAGGCCCTTCCAGGCTCCAGGCAATGATCCAAAAAGCAGGCTTGGAGCCGGTACCCGCTCCCACCTGCCTTTCGTATCGATTGCATTTTCGTTTCAGGAGGCGCCTTTCCATTTTGTGCCATCCGAATGGAAGAAACAAAAAGGAAACACGAATCAAACGAATGGCACAAATTTTGGGCCCATGACTAGTATATACCTTTTTTGTTTCATGCACAACACTATGATAAAAAAATACTATACAAAATTGCCTCCAGGCTGTATGTAAACATAAACGAAATAAACTTTGGGGCAGCTCCACTGCAGCCTCAATGTGGTGTCTGTGGGTATCTCTTGTCTATGGGTATCTCTTTGGCCTGTGCATGACTTGTTTCCGATTGAAATAGGAAAGGTTTGGACCCTTACCGTGATCTGTTTCATGTCCCAGCTTTCAATGGGCGTCCGTGTWCATCTGAGTCTTCCAAAATCAAGAGGTTGGATATTTATTTTTTTGTTTTCGGGGCCAAAAAATCAGTTTTCTTCCGGTCCATTATTGGAGGGGGGGGGGCTTCACCCGTAGGCCCAAAGCGCCCGAGCCTACGAGTGCAGACTTTGGGTCTACATACCTGGGCCTCGCAGGGCCTGCAGCCAATCACAGAGTAAGGAGGGGCCAGGCTCCAGGCAATGATCCAAAAAGCAGCTTGGAGCCGGTACCCGCTCCCGCCTGCCTTTCGTATCGATTGCATTTTCGTCCCAGCTTTCAATGGGGGTCCCGATCCATTTTCGTCTGGAGTCTTCCAAAATCAAGAAGTCGGATATTTATTTTTTGTTTTCGGGGCCGAAAAATCTGTTTTTTTCCGGTCCATTCCATTATTGGAGGAGGGGGGGCTTCACCCATAGGCCCGAAGCGCCCGAACCTACGAGTGCAGGCTTTGGGTCTACGTACCTGGGCCTCGCAGGGCCTGCAGCCAAGCACAGAGTAAGGAGGCCCTGCCAGGCTCCAGGCAATGATCCAAAAAGCAGCTTGGAGCCAGTACCCGCTCCCGCCTGCCTTTCGTATCGATTGCATTTTCGTTTCAGGAGGAGCCTTTCCATTTTGTGTCATCCAAATGGAAGGAACGAAAAGGAAAAACACATCAAACGAATGGCACAAATTTCAGACCCATGCCTAGTATATACTTATTTTGTTTCATGCTCAACATTATGAGAATAAATACTATACAATATCGCCTCCAGGCTGTATGTATAAGGCATACATGAAACGTAAACATAAACGAAGTATACTTTGGGGCAGCTCCACTGCAGCCTCAATGTGGTGTCTTTGGGTATCTCTTGTCTATGGGTATCTCTTTGGCCTGTGCGTGACCTGTTTCTGATTGATATAGGAAAGGTGTGGACCCTTCCCTTGATCTGTTTCGTGTCCCAGCTTTCAATGGGGGTCCCGATCCGTGTTCGTCTGAGTCTTCCAAAATCAAGAGGTTGGATATTTATTTTTTGTTTTCAGGGCCGAAAAATCTGCTTTTTTCCGGTCCATTAGTGGAGGAGAGGGGACTTCACCCATAGGCCCAAAGCGCCCGAGGCTACGAGTGCAGGCTTTCGGTCTACGTGCCTGGGCCTCGCAGGGCCTCAGCCAATCACAGAGTAAGGAGACCCTGCCAGGCTCCAGGCAATGATCCAAAAAGCAGCTTGGAGCCAGTACCCGCTCCTGCCTGCCTTTCGTATCGATTGCATTTTTGTCCCAGCTTTCAATGGGGGTCCCGATCCGTTTTCATCTGGAGTCTTCCAAAATCAAGAGATTGGATGTTTATTTTTTTTGTTTTTGGGGCCAAAAAATCCGTTTTCTTCCGACCCATTATTGGAGGAGGGGGGGCTTCACTCATAGGCCCGAAGCGCCCGAGCCTACGAGTGCAGGTTTTGGGTCTACATACCTGGGCCTCGCAGGGCCTGCAGCCAAGCACCGAGTAAAGAGTGCTCCTTACTCAACGCTTGGCTATAGGTCCTGCCAGGCTCCAGGCAATGATCCAAAAAGCAGCTTGAAGCTGGTACCCGCTCCCACCTGCCTTTCGTATCGATTGCATTTTCATTTCAGGAGGCGCATTTCCATTTTGTGCCATTCGAATGGAAGGAACAAAAAGGAAACACGAATCAAACGAATGGCACAAATTTCAGGCCCCATGACTAGTATATACTTATTTTGTTTCATGCACAACATTATGAGAAAAAAATACTATACAAAATTGCCTTCAGGCTCTATGTATAAGGCATACATTAAACGTAAATGAAGTAAACTTTGGGGCAGCTCCACTGCAGCCTCAATGTGGTGTCTGTGGGTATCTCTTGTCTATGGGTATCTCTTTGGCCTGTGCGTGACTTGTTTCTGATTGGAATCGGAAAGGTTTGGACCCTTACCTTGATCTGTTTCATGTCCCAGCTTTCAATGGGGGTCCCAATCCGTTTTCTTCTGAGTCTCCTGAAATCGGGAGGTCGGATATTTATTTTTTTGTTTTCAGGGCTGAAAAATCCGTTTTCTTCCGGTCCATTATTGGGGGAGGGGGGCTTCACCCATAGGCTGAAAGCTCCCAAGCCTATGGGTGCAGGCTTTGGACCTACTTAGGCGATCCCTCATTGCCCAAGTAGGATAGTCTTCCAGGGTGGGTCCGTAGGTGACTGTGGAGCCCTATTCTTGATCTGCGTCTTCTCCTGCAGTGAGGACATCGGTTTCCAGGTGGAAGGCAGTCCCGGTCAGGGTTGGCTTGACGCCCCTTCCTCTTGGCATGTTTCTCTCTTTCGACCTCCATTCATGCCTCTTCGGATTCTGCAGCACTGCTGGTCACAGCTGACCTCCAGCTGGAGCGCTCAAGGGCCGGGGCTTCCCAGTTCTCAGTGTCTATACCAGAGTTTTTAAGGTTGGCTTTGAGCCCACCTTAAGATTAGCCTTGGACCTCTGATCCTTGCTTGGCCCTCTGCTATAGGTCCTACCAGGCCTCAGGCAATGATCCAAAAAGCAGCTTGGAGCTGGTACCTGCTCCCACCTGCCTTTCCTATCGATTGCATTTTCGTTTCAGCAAGCGCCTTTCCATTTTGTGCCATCGGAATGGAAGGAACAAAAAGGAAAAACAAATCAAACAAATGGCACAAATTTCAGGCCCATGACTAGTATATACTTATTTTGTTTCATGCACAATATTATGAGAAAAAATACTATGCAAACTCGCCTCCAGGCTGTATGTATACAATGTACATTAAATGTAAACGAAGTAAACTTTGGGGCACCTCCACTGCAGCCTCAATGTGGTGTCTATGGGTACTCCTTCGGAGACGAGGATCGTAACCCTTGTGTCCTTTAAATCTCAAATAAAAATTCTTTTTACACTTTTTGAGTGAAAACAGCCTCAGGAGGAACATCTTCTTTTGGGTCAGTGCGTGACTTGTTTCTGATTGAAATAGGAAAGGTTTTGGACCCTCCCGCTCTTGGGAGAAAGACCAAGGTATAATAAAGCGAAGATGGGTGACGCATCCCTTCGCTGGAATCCCCAAGTCCTTTAAATTCCCAAATTATCCATATTGTTGGCTGAGATAGTGAGCCTTTTAACTTTCTGGTGATACAGTATATACTAGTCATGTGCATTCGGGACTTACCTTGATCTGTTTCGTGTCCCGGCTTTCAATGGGGGTCCCAATCCATTTTCATCTGAGTCTCCTGAAATCGGGAGGTCAGATATTTGTTTTGGTTTTTTTGGGGGGGGTTTTCGGGACTGAAAAATCCGTTTTCTTCCGGTTAGTTATTGGGGGAGGGGGGTTCACCCATAGGCTGAAAGGTCCCAAAAGCCTATGGGTGCAGACTTTGGACCTACTTAGGCGATCCCTCGTTGGCCGAGTAGGATAGTCTTCCAGGGTGGGTCCGTAGGTGACTGTGGAGCCCAATTCTTGATCTGCATCTTCTCCCGCAGTGAAGGCATCGGTTTCCAGGTGAAAGGCAGTCCCAGTCAGGTTTGGCTTGACGTGCCTTCCACATTCACACTTGCCTCCAACAGACAAGAGTTCTTTCTCCCACCCTGGACATCATTCCACATATATATAAACCCCACTTGCCTAGTTTCCAACAGACCTCTCAACCTCTGAGGATGCCTGCCATAGATGTGGGGGAAACATCAGGAGAGAATGCTGCTGGAGCATGGCCAGACAGCCCAGAAAATGCACAGCAATCCAGTGATTCCAGCCATGAAAGCCTTTACCAACTGTTATGTTACTATTATTTTTTAACAATTTTAATTATTACACTTGGCCCTGCCATAGGTTCTTTTAATGCGTTGTGGTGTTATTGTTGATGTTTACTGCTTGTTTATGAGTTTATTTATTATTGTGTTGTTGTTGTTGTTTTACTGATGTATTCGTGCTCGGCCTCTTGTAAGCCGCACCGAGTCCTTCGGGAGATGGTAGCGGGGTACAAATAAAAGTTTATTATTATTATGATTACATATGGAAGCCAACAAAGGGACAATCCACAATGTGAAGGACAAAATGCACAAGCACAACGCAAAAACGACAGGGTGCGCAACCGCAACCCAACGCTTGCAAATGCAGAAGTGCTGTTCAACATCTTTATTAATGACTTAGATGAAGGGCTAGAAGGCAGGATCATCAAGTTTGCAGACGACACCAAATTGGGAGGGAGAGCCAAGACTCCAGAGGACAGGAGCAGGATTCAAAATGATCTTGACAGATTAGAGAGATGGGCCAAAACTAACAAAATGAAGTTCAACAGTGACAAATGCAAGATACTCCACTTTGGCAGGAAAAACGAAATGCAAAGATACAGAATGGGGGACGCCTGGCTCGAGAGCAGTACGTGTGAAAAAGATCTTGGAGTCCTCGTGGACAACAAGTTAAACATGAGCCAACAATGTGATGTGGCGGCAAAAAAAGCCAATGGGATTTTGGCCTTCATCAAGAGGAGCATAGTGTCTAGATCTAAGGAAGTAATGCTACCCCTCTATTCTGCTTTGGTTAGACCACACCTGGAATATTGTGTCCAATTCTCGGCACCACAATTCAAGAGAGATATTGACAAGCTGGAATGTGTCCAGAGGAGAGCGACTAAAATGATCAAGGGTCTGGAGAACAAGCCCTATGAGGAGCGGCTTAAGGAGCTGTGCATGTTTAGCCTGAAGAAGAGAAGGCTGAGAGGAGATATGATAGCCATGTATAAATATGTGAGAGGAAGCCACAGGGAGGAGGGAGCAAGCTTGTTTTCTGCTTCCCTGGAGACTAGGACGCGGAACAATGGCTTCAAACTACAAGAAAGGAGATTCCATCTGAACATGAGGAAGAACTTCCTGACTGTGAGAGCCGTTCAGCAGTGGAACTCTCTGCCCGGAGTGTGGTGGAGGCTCCTTCTTTGGAAGCTTTTAAGCAGAAGCTGGATGGCCATCTGTCAGGGGTGATTTGAATGCAATATTCCTGCTTCTTGGCAGAATGGGGTTGGACTGGATGGCCCATGAGGTCTCTTCCAACTCTGATTCTATGATTCTAAGAATTCCGCAGGAGGAGCTCGCAATGAATAAAGGGACAAATGAGTTCATGGTCGTAGGAACCAAACATTTTAATTGACAATAAAATAATAAAAACTAGGCACACTCTTTTTATGCACAGAACGGAAATATATACAGTGAAACTCCCAACACACATGTACAAAAAAAGGAACGTTCCATCTCTTTTCAGATCCCGTGGCAAAAGAAACCATCCTTTGCAGCTCCCGCGAAGGCAATCTCTCTCTCTTGTTCTATTTTCAAAGTGAATCCATTGTCATTCACAGCTTGGATGAAGGAAAAGAAAGAAAAACGTGAGAAATCATTGTGCGCAAACTGGAGAAAGTTACGAAGACGTGGTCCCTCTCGGATAAGGGCTTGGCGGTTTCGGATCGGGAAAACCTGCGGCCGAACGGAGAAGGGCCGAGGAAGCCAAGCCCTTGATGGAAGCGGGCGCCTTCTCTGGCAATGCGCCTCGCCAAAGTCCCGCGATTCCCCCGGAGAGCCCAAGCCTCCTTGGTGTGCAGCAAAACTAAAAGTCGGCGTGTTCGTAAGGAAAAGGTCAGCCATGCCGTTATCAGCAAGGAATCGTCCGAATGAAAGCAGCCACACTTAAGCCATTGGTATGCGTGAAGGGGGTGACCGGTTTCCGTGGCCTTTCCTTTTTCTGAGGCTGGCGGCAACATGGATGCAAAAAACGATTAACATGTTTAATGACGCGGGTTTCATGCACCTCCGTGGGACGCGGCTCACATGGTCTTCTTTTCCGTGCCGTCGGCGGGCTCCGCTTTCTGCGCCGTGGGGAAAGCGTGGTGGTACAAGTGTCTGTGGGTCGCGGCCGCGCTGTAGAGTTTGTACAAAGCCTGCAAAGAGGAAGACAAGGCTTAGAGCAGTGGTTCTCAACCTTCCTAATGCCACCACATGTTGTGGTGACCCCCAACCATAACATTATTTTGGGTTGTTGTAGGTTTTTCCAGGCAATATGGCCATATTCTAGAGGCATTTTCTCCTGACGTTTCGCCTGCATCTGTGGCAAGCATCCTCAGAGGTAGTGAGGTCTGTTGGAACTAGGAAAAAAGGGGTTTATATATCTGTGGAATGACCAGGGTGGGACAAAGGACTCTTGTCTTCTGGAGCTAGGTGTGAATGTTTCAACTGATCACCTTGATTAGCATTTGATTGCCTGGCAGTGCCTGGAGCAATCGTTTGTTGAGAGGTGATTAGATGTCCTTGTTTGTTTGTTTCCTCTCTAACATCTAATCAAGGACATCTGTGAGAGGAAGCCACAGGGAGGAGGAGGGAGCAAGCTTCCTTTCTGCTTCCCTGGAGACTAGGATGCAATGGACAATGGCTTCAAACTTCAAGAGAGCAGATTCCATCTGAACATTAGGAAGAACTTCCTGACTGTGAGAGCTGTTCAGCAGTGGAACTCTCTGCCCCGGAGTGTGGTGGAGGCTCCTTCTTTGGAAGCTTTTAAACAGAGGCTGGATGGCCATCTGTCAGGAGTGATTTGAATGCAATATTCCTGCTTGGCAGAATGGGGTTGGACTAGATGGCCCATGAGGTCTCTTCCAACTCTTTGATTCTATGATTCTATGATCTAATTACTTCTCAACAAAAGATTGCTCCAGGCACTGCCAGGCAATCAAATGCTAATCAGGGTGATCAGTTGAAACATTCACACCTAGCTCTAGCAGACAAGAGTCCTTTGTCCCACCCTGGATCATTCCACAGATATATAAACCCATTTTCCTACTTCCAACAGACCTCACTACCTCTGAGGATGCTTGCCATAGATGCAGGCGAAACGTCAGGAGAGAATGCTGTAGAACATGGCCATATAGCCTGAAAAAACCTACAACAACCCAGTGATTCTGGCCATGAAAGCCTTCGACATAACATTATTTTCATTGTTACTTCATAACTGTAATTTTGCTACTGTTATGAATCGTAATGTAACTAGATGTATTTTCATTCACTGGACCAAATTTGGCACAAATACCCAATATGCCCAAATTTGAATACTGGTGGGGTTGGGGGAGAAGGGTTGGTTTTGTCATTTGAGAGTTGTAATTACTGGGATTTATAGTTCATCTACTCAGAGCACTCTGAACTCCATCAATAATGGAACTGAACCAATCTTGGCACACAGAAGTCCCATGACCAGCAGAAAATACTGGAGGGGTTTGGTGGGCACTGACCTGGAGTTTGGGATTTGTAGTTCACCTACATCCAGAGAGCACTGTGGACTCAAACAATGATAGATCTGGACCAAACTTGGCACAAATATCTAATATGAACCAAATGTGAACACTGGTGGAGTTTGGGGGAAATAGACCTTGACATTTGGGAGTTGTAGTTACTGGGATTTATAGTTCACCTACAATCAAAGAGCATTCTGAACTCCACCAATAATGGAACTGAACCAATCTTGGCACACAGAAATCCCATGACCAACAGAAAATACTGGAGGGGTTTGGTGGGCACTGACCTGGAGTTTGGGAGTTGTAGTTCATCTACATCCAGAGAGCACTGTGGACTCAAACAATGATAGATCTGGACCAAACTTGGCACAAATACCCAATATGAACCAAATGTGAACACTGGTGGAGTTTGGGGGAAATAGACCTTGACATTTGGGAGTTGTAGTTACTGGGATTTATAGTTCACTTACAATCAAAGAGCATTCTGAAATCCACCAATGATGGAATTGAACCAAACTTGGCACACAAAACTCCCATGACCAACAGAAAATACTACAAGGGTTTGGTGGGCATTAATCTTGAGTTTGGGAGTTGTAGTGGTACACAGAACTCCCACGACCAACAAAAAATACTAGAAGGGTTTGGTAGGCATTGATCTTGAGTTTGGAAGTTGCAGGAGATTGATTTTGGGCATAGATGTTAAATAACATCGGGGACAGTACTGAACCCTGAGGAACTCCACAAGACAATGGTTGTGGAGGCGAACAGGTGTCACCCAGTAACACCTTCTGAGACCGACCCTCCAGGAAGGACTGGAGCCACTGCAGAGCAGTACCTCCAAGTCCCAAATAGATTACTGCAACCCACTCTACATGGGACTGCCTTTGAAGACTGTTCGGAAACTGCAACTAGTCCAACGGGCTGCAGCCATATTACTACTAACTGGAGTGACATACAGGGAGCATACCACGCCTTGTTGTGCCAGCTCCACTGGCTGCCGGACCACTTCCGAACTCAATTCAAAGTGCTGGTTTTGACCTATAAAGCCCTAAACCCTTGGGCCAGCAGGGCTGCAACTCAAAGTCAGTTGTTTGAATCCGGGAAGCGGGCTGAGCTCCCATCTGTCAGCTCCAGCTTCTCATAGGGGGACATGAGAGAAGCCTCCCATGGGATAGCAAAACAAGGCGTCCCTTGGGCAAACACAGACAGCCAATTCTCTCACACCAAAAGCGACTTGCAGTTTCTCAAGTCTCTATGTCGGATAGCCCAGGATTGAACTATAATCCAATTCTCCCTGCCTTGAGGTTATGAAGCAAAGCAAGGAAGCAAATGGCGTGGCTCCCTCCTCCCAGCAAATGAGCAAAGACACACGGGAAAAAAAGTGGCGGAAGCGGATGGGAGATGAGCCAATTCAGCAGCACAAGTGCAAACACAGGACAGACATGGACGGTGGTGGGACAAGCACGGCTGCCACAGAACAACAGCACTTACCTCGTTTGTGTTTCCCTGCAGAAAAGGCAGTTGCAAAAAAAGAAACGTGAGAGAAAGAACACATCGTGTTGATTATGTGTTTTATTTGGAGAGGCTGCCATATCTCTCTCTCCCAGTAGCATCGAGAACCGTTACTGACTTCTATGGGATCATGGAAGCTGGGGCTGAGTCTACACCCGTGGTTCCCAACCTGTGGCCGTGGACCGACCACCAGTGGTCCGCAAGAACTAAAACATGGTCCGCAGCCTCACCATTATTACACCGTTGCAACGAGAACGACTGGTCTTGTGAAACCCTCTTATAATGCCCAGGCTTATTAAATATGGTTTTCTGTGGGCAAGCAGATGGTGACTACTGGGTGGCCTATGTTCTGTATCAGAAACTAGAGCTGATGTGGTCCATCCAATGCAATTTTTGGAATGAGCACCCCAAATAACCAAACTGAATCTGATGTTGACCAAAAACCAATTGGTCACCCTTTTGGTACTAATGTTGCAGAGTAGTCCCTGGTCAAAGAGGTCCCTGGTCAAAGTGGTCCCTGGTCAAAGTGGTCCCTGGTCAAAAGAGGTCCCTGGTCAAGTGGTCCCTGGTCAAAGTGGTCCCTGGTCAAAGTGGTCCCTGGTCAAGGAGGTCCCTGGTCAAGTGGTCCCTGGTCAAAGTGGTCCCTGGTCAAAGAGGTCCGTAGTCAAAGAGGTCCCTGGTCAAAGAGGTCCCTGGTCAATGTGGTCGCTAGTCAATGTGGTTCCTTGTCAAGTGGTACCTGGTGAAAGTGGTCCCTGGTCAAAGAGGTCCCTGGTCAAAGTGGTCCCTGGTCAAAGAGGTCCCTGGTCAAAGTGGTCCCTGGTCAAGTGGTCCCTGGTCAAAGAGGTCCGTAGTCAAAGAGGTCCCTGGTCAAAGAGGTCCCTGGTCAATGTGGTCGCTAGTCAATGTGGTTCCTTGTCAAGTGGTACCTGGTGAAAGTGGTCCCTGGTCAAAGTGGTCCCTGGTCAAAGAGGTCCGGTCAAAGAGGTCCCTGGTCAAAGTGGTCCCTGGTCAAGTGGTCCCTGGTCAAGTGGTCCCTGGTCAAAGTGGTCCCTGGTCAAAGAGGTCCCTGGTCAAAGTGGTCCCTGGTCAAAGAGGTCCCTGGTCAAAGTGGTCCCTGGTCAAGTGGTCCCTGGTCAAAGAGGTCCCTGGTCAAAGAGGTCCCTGGTCAAAGAGGTCCCTGGTCAAAGTGGTCCTGGTCAAGTGGTCCCTGGTCAAGAGGTCCCTGGTCAAAGAGGTTCCTGGTCAAGTGGTCCCTGGTCAAAGTTCCCTGGTCAAGTGGTCCCTGGTCAAAGTGGTCCCTGGTCAAAGTTGTCCCTGGTCAAAGTGGTCCCTAGTCAAAGTGGTCCCTGGTCAAAGTGGTCCCTGGTCAAAGTGGTCCCTGGTCAAGTGGTCCCTGGTCAAAGTGGTCCCTGGTCAAATGGTCCCTGGTCAGAGGTTCCTATCAAAGTGGTCCCAGGCCAAGGGGTCCCTGGTCAAGTGGTCCCTGGTCAAAGAGGTCCCTGGTCAAAGAGGTCCCTGGTCAAAGTGGTCCCTGGTCAAGTGGTCCCTGGTCAAAGAGGTCCCTGGTCAAAGTGGTCCCTGGTCAAAGAGGTCCCTGGTCAAAGTTGTCCCTGGTCAATGTGGTCCCTAGTCAAAGTGATCCCTGGTCAAAGAGGTCCCTAGTCAAAGTGGTCCCTGGTCAAAGTGGTCCCTGGTCAAAGTGGTCCCAGGTCAAGGGGTCCCTGGTCAAAGCGATCCCTGGTCAAAATGGTCCCTAGTCAAAGAGGTTCCTATCAAAGTGGTCCCAGGCCAAGGGGTCCCTGGTCAAGTGGTCCCTGGTCAAAGAGGTCCCTGGTCAAAGAGGTCCCTGGTCAAAGTGGTCCCTGGTCAAGTGGTCCCTGGTCAAAGAGGTCCCTGGTCAAAGTGGTCCCTGGTCAAAGAGGTCCCTGGTCAAAGTGGTCCCTGGTCAAGTGGTCCCTAGTCAAAGTGGTCCCTGGTCAAAGTGGTCCCTGGTCAAAGTGGTCCCTGGTCAAAGTGGTCCCAGGTCAAGGGGTCCCTGGTCAAAGCGATCCCTGGTCAAAATGGTCCCTAGTCAAAGAGGTTCCTAGTCAAAGTGGTCCCAGGCCAAGGGGTCCCTTGCCAAGTGGTCCCTGGTCAAAGAGGTCCCTGGTCAAAGTGGTCCCAGGTCAAGGGGTCCCTGGTCAATGTGGTCCCTAGTCAAACAGGTCCCTGGTCAAAGAGGTCCCTAGTCAAAGAGGTCCCTGGTCAAAGGGATCCCAGGTCAAGGGGTCCCTGGTCAAAGAAGTCCCTGGTTAAAGAGGTCAAACATTGTTGGGAACCACTGGTCTACACTATAGAATGAAGGCAAGTCGAAACCACTTTCACTGCTATGCCATGGAATCAGCAAAGGTGCCAAGCATCTAGGGACAGGCCTGGGCAAACTTGGACCCTCCAGGTGTTTTGGACTTCAACTCCCACAATTCCTAACAGCTGAAAACACAACCCTAGCCCTCCCAACAGAGGCCATCCAGCCTTGCTTAAACACTTCCATAATAGGAGGCTCCACTGAACTCCCAAGTAGCATATTCCATGGTTCTTCCTAATGTTTATCTAGAATCCCTTTTCCTGGAATTGAATCCATTGTATTGGTCTCTGGAGGAGCAGAGAACAACCTGGCCCTCTCCTCACTATGACATCCTTTCCAAGATGTAAACATGGCTCTGGTGTCCCTTTCGCTCAACCTCCTTTTCCCCAAGGTAAACATGCCCAGCTCCCTCGGCCACTCTTTGTTGGGCTTGGCTTCCAGATCTTTGCATGGCTCTTCCCTCTATGGCCAATCCCCAGTATTGCTACTCCCGACCAGAACATTTGATAGGTGTAGATGAGACCTTCAAATCTTCCGTACCAGTAGTACATCAACAGGAGGAGTATTTCATTGCTCCCTCTCTAATAGTGCTTTTCTCTGCTGGGAAGCTTGGGTTTAAACTCTTCTGAATTCAGTCCCAAACCCACTCACGCGCCCCACTTTTCTTCCTCCTCCCTCTGCTTGTCTACTTCCTTCTCCTCCTCTTCCCCCTCCTTCTCTTCTTCCTTTCTTCTCCTCCCTTTCTTCTTCCCTTCCTATTCCTTCTTCTCCTCATTTGTTTCTTCTCCTGTTTCCCCTTCTCTTCCTTCTCCTCTTTTCCCTTTCTCCTCTTCCTTTTTTCTTCTCTTCCTTCTCCTCTGTCTTCTCTTTCTTTCTCCATCTCTTCATCTTCTCCCCTTCTCCCCTTTCTTTTTTTCTTCCCCTTCTCTTCCTTCTTCTTTTCTTCTTCTCATCATTCCTCTTCTCTTCCTCCTTATCTACCAACTGTATATTCTCCACAACTTCTGCTTCTGTTCCTTCTTCTCATCCTCTTCCATTCTTCTTCTCTTCCTCTTCCCTTTCTCTCCCTCCTTCTCACCTTCCTTCATTTTCTTCTCCCTTTCTTCTCCTCTTCCTCATTTTGTTTCTTTCTTCTCCTGTACCCCTTCTCTTCCTTTTCCTCTTCTCAATTTCTTCTTCTCGTCTTCACCTTCTCCGCTTTCTTTTTTCTTCCCTTTCCCCTTCTCCCCCTTTTCTTGCTTCTTCTCCTCTTTCCTCTTCCTCCTCACCTACCTATATTCTTCACAACTTCTTCTCTTCCTCCTTCTCATCCTCTTCCTTTCTTCTGTTCCCCCGTCTCCTCCTCTTCATCCTTTCTTCTCTTTCTCTTCCCCTTCTCTCCCTCCTTCTCCACTTCCTAATCTTTTTCTCCTCCCTTTCTTCTCACCTTCCTCCTCTTCATCTTGGGTCTTTCTCCTCCTGTACCTTCTCTTTCTTCTCCTCCTTCTCTTCTTCCATTCTTCTTCTCCTCCCCTATCCTCATCTCCTTACTTTCTTCTCCTTTTCCATCATCTCCTCTTCATCTTCCTATATTCTCATCCTCCCATCTTCTTCTCGTCCTCTTCCTTTCTTCTCCTGTTACCTTCTCCTCCTCTTTATCCTTTCTTCTTCTCTTCCTCTTCCCTATCTCTCCCTCCTTCTCCTCCCTTTCCTTTTCTTCTTCCATTTTCTCCTGCCCTTCCTCTGCATCCCTTTGCTTTCTCCTCTTCCATAATCTCTTCCTCATATTCCTATATTCTCATCCTACTCATCCTCTTCTCTTCCTCCTCCTTATACTATTCCTTTCTTCTTTCCTTCCTCTTCCCCCTTCCCTTCTTCCTTCTCTTCCTTCCCTCTTCCTCCTTTCCCTCTCCTTCCTCCTCCACCCTGGGGCACCAGAGACAAGATGGGGACGTGGGGATGCGGGAGGGTCGAATGGGTCACCCCCTACCTGGTCCCATAGGGCTGCGGCCACTTGGTCGATGACGGCGCCCAGCTCCCGGTACTCCCCGGAGTAGCGGATGTAGGCCCAGGTACAGAGCGTGATGAGGGTCAGGCCCATGATCATGTTGCAGAGGCTGGCGATGATGTCCAGGCCGATGAAGCCGGTGACGCCCGCGATGACGTAGGTGATGAAGATGACCACGAAGAGGGTGGCGGGGGTGCGGGCCGCGTGGAAGATGTTCTTGCTGTCGTTGTGCTTGATGTACTGGACGTAGAGCTCGTCGATCTCAGCCTCCAGCTGCTGCAGGTAGCGCCGGCTGAACTCCTCGCCCCCCATCTTCTTCACCGAGCGGAACTGGCGCACCGCCTCCTCCTTCAGCTCCAGGTGGCGGCTCTGTAGGTCGCTGGGGGCCAGGAAGGGCTTGTCACCCCCACACACCTGGAACGAGAAGAGGTGGGTCCATCAAGGTGTGAAGGACGTCCTCCACATTGGCTGGGGTCAGCATCCACACCTGTCTATAGAGCAGGCATGGGCCAACTTGGGCCCTCCAGGTGTTTTGGACTTCAACTCCCACAATTCCTAACAGCCGGTAGGCTGTTAGGAATTGTGGGAGTTGAAGTCCAAAACACCTGGAGGGCCCAAGTTGGCCCATGCCTGCTCTATGGACAGCTTTCTTCTATCATGCTGGATGACCTAGAGATTTCTGGAAAGACCGTCTAGATCCTCCAATGCAATACAGTTCCTCATGTTGTGGTGACCCCCAACCATAATATTATTTTTGTTGCTACTTCACAACTGTAGTTTTGCTCCTGTTGTGAATCGTCACGTAAATATCTAATATGCAGGATGGACTAAAATTGGCCCAAATTTGAATACTGGTGGGGATAGAAGGAGGATAGATTTTGTCATTTGGAAGTTGTAGTTGCTGGGATTTGTAGTTCACRTACAACCAAAGAGCATTCTGAACTCCACCAACGATGGAATTGAACCAAACTTGGCACACAAAGCTCCCATGACTATCAGGAAGGGTTTGGTGGGCATTGACCTGGATTTTGGGAGTTGAAGTTCACCTACATCCAGAGAGCACTGTGGACTCAAACAATGTATAGTTCACCTACAACCAAAGAGCATTCTGAACTCCACCAACGATGGGAATTGAACCAAACTTGGCACACAGAACTTCCATGACTAACATAAAATACTGGAAGGGCTTGGTGGGCATTGACCTGGAGTTTGGGAGTTGTAGTTCACCTACATCCAGGGGGCGTTGTGGACTCAAAGAATTTATAGTTCACCTACAATCAAAGAGCATTCTGAACTCCACCAACGATSGGAATTGAACCAAACTTGGCACACAGAACTCCCATGACTAACATAAAATACTGGAAGGGCTTGGTGGGCATTGKCCWGGAGTTTGGGAGTTGTAGTTCACCTACATRCAGAGAGCACTGTGGACTCAAACAATGATATATCTGGACCAAACTTGGCACAAATACCCAACATGAACCAAATGTGAATACTGGTGGGGTTTGGGGGAAATAGACCTTGACATTTGGGAGTTGTGGTTGCTGGGATTTATAGTTCAACTACAATCAAAGGGCATTCTGAAATTCACCTACGATGGGAATTGAACCAAACTTGGCACACAGAACTCCCATGACCAACAGAAAATACTAGAAGCGTTTGGTGGGCATTGATCTTGAGTTTGGAAGTTGTAGTGGACTCAAACCATGATGGATCTGGACCAAACTTGGCACAAATACTCAATATGCCCAAATGTGCACACTGGTGGAGTTTGAGGAAAATAGACCTTGACATTTGGGAGTTGTGGTTGCTGGGATTTATAGTTTACCTACCATCAAAGAGCATTCTAAAATCCACCTACGACGGAATTGAACCAAACTTGGCACACAGAAAATACCCATGACCAACAGAAAATACTAGAAGGGTTTGGTGGGCATTGATTTTGAGTTTGGGAGTTATAGTGGACTTAAACCGTGGACTCAAACAATGATGGATCTGGACCAAACTTGGCACAAATACTCAATATGTCCAAATGTGAACACTGGTAGAGTTTGGGGAAAATAGACCTTGACATTTGGGAGTTGTGGTTGCTGGGATTTATAGTTTACCTACAATCAAAGAGCATTCTGAATTCCACCAATGATAGAATTGGGCCAAACTTCTCAAACAGAACCCCATGATCAATAGAAAATACTGTGTTTTCTGATGGTCTTTGGCGACCCCTCTGACACCCCCTCGTGACCCCCCCCCCAGGGGTCCCGACCCCCAGGTTGAGGAACACTGATCTAGGTCCTGCAATGTGCTTCAGTGTTCAGCTTCCAATGGATGTCATGCTGGAAGACCTAGATATTCCTGGAGAGTTGTTTTCTCTCGTTAACAGCTATTTCCTAATTGCGGTGTTCCCTTTTCAATGGGGTCCCCAGCGAATGTGGAAAGCTGACCGTTCCCCTCAACGTGGGGGTGGCTTTCTCTGGGAAATGGGGTAGGACCCCGAGAGGCACGCTCACCTCCTCCATCCTTTTGTTGTAAGCGTCCTTTGCTGTGGCGACAGCAGCCAGGTTGTTTGCTTCGGCGGTAGCCTGCCATCGGGGACAAAACAGCAAAGGGTCAGTGGGGCAAGAGGTCACCAGTCCAACCCCCGTCAGCCAGGCAGGAGGACACAGTCAAAGCCCTCCCAACGGATGCCCATCCAGCCTCTAATCCCTACAGAAGTGAGGTGGTGGTGCTGTTCAAATGTAGGTAGGGTTATAATAGCCTTTATAGTTTGCACAATTTGTAATTGCAGTGGTTACAATGGATACATGTCTAATTAAGAAAATCTGTCGACAGTGATGTTGAACCATATGGAGCGGATGGAGAGAAAATGGCACCAGAGTCAACTGCTGGACATCAGAAGGGTCAAGGAGAAAATTCCAGACCCCATTTACACAGTAAAGCTTATATGAAATTGTATGTGATGTGTTGTCGAAGGCTCTCATGGCTGGAATCACTGGGTTGCTGTGAGTTCTTCAGGCCATATGGCCATGTTCCAGCAGCATTCTCTCCTAACATTTCACCTGTATCTGTGTCTACGGTCATCTTCAGAGGTCTGTTGGAAGTGAGGCAAGTGGAGTGTGTGTGTGTGTGTGTGTAAATAGATTGATATACATAACACAAGAGTGAAGGTTGCAATTAGTAGGCTTGACTAGCATTGAGTAGCCATAAGCTACAAAGTCAATCAGTGAGGGTTTCTGCACAGAGGTAGCCTGGCCTCTGTTGCCTGCAGGCATCCTCTGGAAGGTGTGGCTAATGGCATCTTCAGAGGTTCTGTTGGAAGTGAGGCAAATGAAGTGTATATATCCCTGTGGAATAATGTCCAGAATGGGACAAAGAACCCTTGTCTGTTTGAAGCAAGTGTGAATGTTGCCATTAGCAAGCTTGAATACCATTGAGTAGCCTTGCAGCTGCAAAGTCAATCAGTGAGGGTATCTGCTTGGAGGTAGCCTGGCTGTTGTTGCCTGGAGGCATCCTCTGTTTGGGAGATATTAACAGGCACTTGATTGCTTGCTACCTGGAGTTCTCCTGTTGAAATTGTTCAGAAAGTTTGTGGATTTTGATGGCGAGAATGCTGCTGTAAAATGCCCATACAGCTCAAAAAAACTGACAGTAATATCTATCTATCTATCTATCTATCTCCAGGGTGGGAGAAAGCACCCTTGTCTGTATATGAGGGTTGAATGAAAAGTAATGCCTCCACCTTCGTAACTCCTCAACAGATGGCAGTACTGGTATGCAGCAGGTACTGGCTTGTTCAGTAGACTCTCCTCTACAGTTCCATTTTGGGGGGGGAAGCCTTAGCATTGATCGGTTGTGTAATGCTTCCACGTTCGTATGGAACCCTGAGCAGACGGTCGGTCAATGCGACTTAAGCAACGTGCAGTCATTAAATTCTTGACAGCAGAAGGTGTCACCCCAAAGGAGATTCATCAGAGAATGCAAGCTGTTTATGGTGATTGTGTTGATGTGAGTACTGTGCGTCGTTGTGCGAGTAAGTTTAAAGATGTTGAGGTGGGAACATCTGACTTGCGTGACAAACAAAGAGTTGGATGTCCTGTGACAGCCAACACTGAGTTTCACATGCAAAAGGTTGACAGATTGATTCAGGACGATCGTCGTATCACTCAGAGAGAAATTTCAAGCATAATCGGCATTTCACAAGAATGTGTGGGTCACATTATTGCTTTGCTTGGCTATCGGAAGATCTGTGCACGATGGGTACCCAGGATGCTGACGCCTGAAATGAAAGCACACAGACTTGAAACTTCAGAGACTGGATCTCACCACCGTACGGCATCCTCCATACAGTCCAGATTTATCACCGTCTGACTTCCATCTGTTCCTGATTTATTTATTTATCGTGTCAGGCAACCAAACAGTTGTATTACATTTTTGACTGAACAAACAAACAAACATACAAAAGGCACAGAGTTTGCAAGCTTGGTAGTTGATTAGACGTCCTTTGACCAGTAGCTGTCCACTTGGAGTGCCTCTGGTGTTGCCGCAAGACGGTCCTCCCTTGTGCATGTGGCAGGGCTCAGGTTGCATTGCAGCAGGCGGTCAGTGGTTTGCTCTTCTCCACACTCGCATGTCGTGGATTCCACTTTGTGGCCCCATTTCTGAAGGTTGGCTCTGCATCTCGTTGTGCCACAGCGCAGTCTGTTCAGCACCTTCCAAGTCGCCCAGTTTTCTGTGTGCCCAGGGGGGAGTCTCTCATTGGGTATCAGGGGGGAGTCTCTCATTGGGTGCCTTCTCGGATTAGGAATCCCCATCCCAAGTCCTAGTAGCATTTTAGCACAATTAACATCGCTGCACACCGCACTTTTAATTCCCACGCCCCTCCTGCCATTCCAGCACTTTTAACCTTGTACCCATTTACGCCGGCCGAACCAGTTTTAATATGTCTTGATGTATTGTCATTGCTGTTTTGCTTAATTGTTGATTTGTGTTGTTTTGCTATGTTATGTTTTCTATTATATTGTGTTTGTGGCTTCGGCCTGTGTAAGCCGCATCGAGTCCTTCGGGAGATGCTCGCGGGGTACAAATAAAGTTAATAATAATAATAATAATAATAATAATAATAATATCAGCCATTGATTGAGGCTCTGGGTTGAGTCTGCCACTTTTGGACTCTCGCTTGCTGAGGTGTTCCAGCAAATGTCTCTGTAGATCTTAGATCTGTTCCTGATAATAAAAGATCTGCGGGGACATCATTATGCTTCTTATGAAGACGTTGAGAGAACTGTGAGGCACTAGTTGCGGAAACAGAGTGTCGACTTCTTCCGTGACCGCTTCAGAAAACTTCTTCATCGTTGGCAGAAATGTATCCAATTGTCTGGTGATTATGTGGAAAAGTGAATAGTGGTCATTAAAGGGCACAATCTAAGGATTATTTCTGCATTTGATTCATTAAAATATTCCCATCCAAACCCAAGTAACGAAAGTGAGGAGGCATGACTATTCATTCAACTCTTGTAGTATGAAATGCTTACAAGGGGTTGGTTTAACCTCCAGTTTGCTACTAAAACCAAATTCTGTGTTGTGAAAGAATGCCTGCCTAAGAAACAGGTCACCAAGATGAAAAGTTTGGACGGCTCTGCTATTGAATCTCTCTCTCTCTCTGGACTGTACTTGGAGCTGATGCTGAACTAGGCCATCCACAAAGAAACAACCTCACGAGAGCATCACCCGAGGGACCTGTCTCCATTACAGCTGTCCAGGCGAGGGATGGGAAGAAAATCTTAGTTGTGCCCTTTGGAAACTGGATTCCCTTCCTCTTGTAAGCCCAAGCGGAAAATACCTGCAGCATGGATTTGGGATGAGGGAGCTCTTCTCCTTGGTAGATCTTAATGTAGGCCTAGGAAGAAGGCACACAGAAAGAAATGGATAGATATAAACACAAGAATACATACTCAGAAAATGCCTATGCATTGCGTACTTGTACAGTTAAAGAGAACTCAAGCAAACCGGCACAAAGAAATCATGCCTTCTGCATTCACAAAGCTGTGCTACATTACATGAAGTTAGTCTGTATCTCCCTTATTTTGGTTTAGTTACTATATTTCAATATTAGGATCGATTGAATACAGAGTTTATAGTATGTTTTATTTTGGGGGACAAGAGCATTACGGAAATAGATCAGGCCTGGGCCAACTTGGGCCCTCCAGGTGTTTTGGACTACAACTCCCACAATTCCTAGCAGCCGTAGGCTGCTAGGAATTGTGGGAGTTGTAGTCCAAAACACCTGGAGGGCCCAAGTTGGCCCAGGCCTGATCTAGACAGTTCCTTGTTCATTTTTCTCTAGGTTGTGGCCTATCTTTGCTTCAAACTACAGTGAGCGTCTACTAATCCTCAATCACACCATAGGTTAACTAAGAGTATATTGTGCATTATTATTATTATTATTATTATTATTATTATTATTATTATTATTAGATATATAACAAGATTAGTATACAGCAAACATGATTATTATTTATATCCTACATTCCCCCAAGAGGAACTTACAATTAGAAAGATAATTAGAAACATAAAAACAGTAACTTTTACAACCAAATTGAACTATTTACAGTATGAATAGCCTGGATTTAAAAAATGCATTTATCCGTCATCTACCAATTTGCATTGGGGCCATGGGTTAACTGGGAGTCTACGGCACATATTTTGTGAAATGGACCACAAATCACAATGAAAATACAGGGCTCAATATTATAAAACACTATATAACACATTTTTTTTTGTTCCTGAGTTATCAATGTCATTTCCTAATTGGTTCTATCCTGAAAACATAGGGAAAGTTTATTAAACTGCAAAAACTTTGTTTTTGCAGGAGAGACATTATTCTGCAGCACATTTTTGCAGGCTCTAGCACAGCTGGTAGATCTACGAGACAAAAGACTGCCAGTTTGAAGCCCTGGGTCGGTGTGACCTGCCGACTGTCAGCCCAGTTTACTGTTTACCTAATCAGTTCGGCAACAGCTTGAGCAGTAAATAGAGAAATGAGGTACCACTAAAATGAGTGGGGGAGGTATTTTTCGACACCATAAAGAAAAAGATCAGAAAATGCCCAGTGACCAAAAGGAAGGAGGAAATCCTGATGGGTCTTCATCATAGAAGATGGAGCGATAGCACCTCCTTGTGGTTGGATTTGAACCCAACCTCCGAGATGCCAAAAAGCTGGATGTTGACACAACATACTGTATATACTCGAGTATAAGCCTAGTTTTGCAGTCCTTTTTTTAGGCCATAGGTTTTTAAATCCTTGTGTGATATTGTTTATATGTGATTTATATTAATTTGTATTGTATTGTATTGTTTTGTTTATTGCTTTCCTGTTTTATTGATGTGTTGTTGGGCTTAACTTCATGTAAGCCGCTCTGAGTCCGTTGGGGAGATGGTGGCGGGGTATAAATAAAGTTTTATAATAATAATAATTATTATTATTATTATTATTATTATAGGCTGAAAAAGTCCCCCTCAGCTTATACTTGAGTCAAGGTTATTTATAATTTTACTCTGTTGTTGTTGTTGTTACTACCTTTATTATTTTACTCTGTTGTTGTTCTTATTATTATAATAATAATTATTATTACATTTATTATTATTCTAACTACATTTACATTACTCTATTATTATTATTATTATTATTACTACTACTACTACTACTACTACTTTTATTACATTGATTATTTTACTTTATTATTATTGTTATGACTACATTTCCATTACGTTACTCTATTTATTATTATTATTATTATTATTATTATTATTATTATTACATTTAGAATTTTCCTCTCTACTATTATTGGAAGGCTACGTTGGCACATTTGCATTGAAGAAGGTTAGAATGAAGATTTTGTCAGAGTTGAACATTGAACCTACTGGGTTGTTGTAGGTTTTTTCAGGCTATATAACCATGTTCTAGAGGCATTCTCTCCTGACGTTTCGCCTGC